TCAAAATAAAGAATCAGATTTTAAAATGTGCCCTATTTTGGATGTTGTTTGTGGATTTTTAGCTCATCAGTTGGTTCTGTGAGAAACTGCTCTTGGCTTTCAGGTAGCTCCCCTCCCTGGCTAGTAACATAGCTTGGTGGTTTTTTTTCCTGATAGATGCAGCCTCATCAGCCCCTTTTCTCTCAGTTGTGACTGGCTGCTGACTTTTGGTTCTGTGGGCCCAGGTGCACTGACAGGGTAGAATGTCAGCTAATGGATAATGATTGCACTCCCACCAGCAAGCTACAAAACTAATGATTTGGGAGAGGCAGCTTTCACCTTCAGAGGAGAGTTAGAGAATAAGCTTTAGTTTCTCTAAGAACTGCACTGGAGTAGACCTTGCCTATATAAATATGAATACACCACAGCACTATATAAATATGAAGGAAATGAGGGTACAAAAGCTTCAAATTTCCTTGTCCCTATTTCATAGTAACTTCAAACAAACAGATTTGAACTTTATAGCGTAAGTAAATGGTTCATCATCTGATCATGCAATACCGTATCTGAGACTTACTTTCATCCCTTACATAGACTTGTGAACTGTAATTCTTTTCCTTCTGATAGTTGATGGCTTTGTGGTGCAGAAACTTGCCTCTCAGTAGCATTTCTCCAGTAACAAGGTTGACAATGGCTTTGCAGCTAGCCCGTTAAGGCTTCGTGGCAACTTTTAGAAACAAAACCAACAGACCAAGTAGACCAAATGGTCTGTACAGAGCAAACTCCTAGAAATCCCTTGCTGATAATCAGTTGAGTAATCAGTTGAGTTTCTCTAGCATGTTCTCCAATGTAGAGATGTTTTCTTTGCAATGTCAAGTGGAGGGATGTGGAGACAGTGTTCTCACGGGAGAATGGATAATTGGTACATAAACTCTGAATAATCCTGAAAGATACAGCAAGGCCATGAGAGGCCCGAGGAAGCTTAAGCAAGCAAGATAAGAAGAAGCTGGAATTCACTGAGTTATGAGAACTGTGGACTGTTGGCAAGCTTTCGAGATCAAGTTCTCACACCTGTGCTTAACCAATTATGTGTTAGTCACTAAGGGTCTTCAAGACATGTATCCAATCATAATATGCCAAATCACTGTAAGTGCATGTAAGAAATAGTATATAAGGAGTTAGGCTTTGTAATAAACGGCTTTTGTCTGACCATATTGATCTCTGACTGGGTCCATATATTTTCTGCGGCAGAGGGATGTGACCAATCCTGCATCTCAAGGATATGGATATATAAATTAATTAGAGAAAGGGCTGATAATATTCTTCCTACTTCTTGGAGATTTTGGGGCACAGAGTGCTTGTCAAGCTCACAGGGCATCTTGGCTTGACCACATCCTTCTGCATTAAAGTTTAGGCAGATTTTTAATCTCTTCAGGTTTTTCTAACACAGTTGCATTGAGTCAATCCCACTTACAGTTGTGCTGCGATAGAATTGATTTGATTATCTATGTACTGGTTATACTGGCTCTTCATGATGGGAAGAGTAATGATGATTTGTATTTTGAAAAACATGCCTGAAAGGTAATACATGATTATAAAATGCTTATAAACAGTTGTCACCAGTTTGATTTTCAGTCCTATTTTACCTCAGAGTGATTGCTGCCAGTCTTTTTCCCCACCCTAGATGTCGCAGCATTATTTTTTAATGCTCCGTTAATTTAATTACATGGGAATGATTTTCTATTTATTTTTTGTTTTACCTTGAAGAGACTGACAAAAATCCCTTAAGATAGTTAGAAAACAATAATGTAGGATAAAAAGGTCCTGTTTTTTTTGATTTCCTTGGTTTTTAATACTTGTGGACTTTGCAGCTACGTTGGGGTATACATCAGAAGAGAACAAGTTAAAAACAGCTTGTGGAAAGATGTTTCTATTAAAGCAGCTGTATTCCAAGCAGTAGAAAACCTGTTCTTTTATGCTGATTTGAGTATATTTGTTCTTGTTTTCCCTTACTTTGGTGTTCTTGCATTTTCCAAAGTCCTTTGGGTGTTTTTTGCTGTCAGCAAGAAGTGGTAGAGCAGTATTCCAGGTCAGTTCCCCTGTTACTGTGAACTCAGGGCTGGGGAATGTAACACAGATTACAAAAATAGATTTGGCTGAGGTGGTAACACCATCTAGAGAGAATGAAATGAAACATGAATCCCAGCTGAAAAGGCAGTCCAGTTCCACTAAACTTTGAAAATACTAGCACACCATAAGGCTTAGCAGCAGGAAATGGCAGAGACCACAGTATCTCTGGAAAATGCAAGGTAAAGTTCCTGCTTGCCACCTGCGCAAGCTTCTGTGGTTCGTACCATAAAGCAGCCCTGTAGTTCCAGCCAGGCTATGCCCACATCATAGAAGGGTTCAGTAGGGAAGAGAGAAAAACACTTCTGCAGTTGGCTTTATGAGATTTTATCTTTCTGGAGAGGGGTTTGCAGGTAAATGTCACTAATTATGGCAAGGCCTGTGTAGTTTTGTGTGCAAGACTAAGATGGTACCGAGTGAGTAATTATCCTGAAAAAAAAGGTGTTAGGAATAAACTGAGAAACTAAAAGGATGGAGAAGGAAAGCAAACTGTCTTGGAGGTCAAAGCCTGTGAGGATAAAATAAATATTGCCAAAGCTCATGCTTTCATTAGATTTCATGAAGAAAAGGATGGCAAACAGCTGTATTCCGTAAGCATGATAAGTAAAAGCCAGTTAAGGGAAAACAGAAGTGGGTCCAAGGTGAAGCTGGGGCTGACATAAAAGGCAATTTTATGTATAGTCAGGCAATCAAATGAATACTTGGCCTCCAGTTTCAGTTGTGCCGATTGCACTGGACATGAGAGCAAAAGAAGTCGGTGTGTAGCAAGATTTGGAGCTGCAAAACTAAATTTTTACTGTAATGTAATGAGTGGCAATAAAACTCGATTGAATGCTCAGAAGAGTGGAAGAATTGTACAATGGAGAGCTTTATGGTAGCAATTTGTGATTAAATCAAGCTATCCTGATACACCTTGGTTATGTAACTCAGGGTAGTGTGACGACTGAGGGACAGAAATACAACTTGCAGATAAACAGTTAAAAAAGAAAGAAAAAGGTAATCTGAGTAAGTATGTATCGCTTAATTTACACAATAGGAATAATTAAAGACTGCTAGTTCTGCAGGTGAAGTCCTCTGACCGTATGCAGGTAAGTAATATAAAATGTGACATGGATTCATCAACGACTGCTGGACTAGGTTGACAGTGTTTATTGACAAATAACTGATTACCTCTATGAGGAAAATGTAGTGCGTTTGAACAGTGTGGACTTCAGTAAAGCACCGGAGGGCTGCCACATGGAAATACTTAAACTGGATAAAATGAGGGAGTAATACAAGAAGCATTGAGTAGTTAAGAAGTTGACTTAAATCTGCTGCTGAAATTCCATGCTGAGGCAGCATTTCAAACCCTTCTCAATGCAGAGGAGTAACGTACTGCACGTCATACAGTAGGAACTGCAAAATAGTGCAGAGTAATATTAAAAATAGAAATGTAGTAGTAGAAAGTACCAGGCCACACACCGAGAGAGTGTTGAGTGTTTTGGCTAACAATAAGGTGCTTGTCAGTTGAAAGCAAAGGAGAAAGATCTGAGTACTGGTTAGTAAATAAAACCCACCAGTGTTGTTGTGGCGTATAAATAGGCAAATGTGTTCTCAGCGTGTATCAGATGCGGGATTTCTGGCAGGGTTGTATGTTACGCTGATAAGGCCTCATCTGGGGAGCTGTGTTCAATTCCACTCACGTAGGTTCTGGAAAGATTAATCCATGTTGGGACAGGTGCAGAGAAGTAGGGGATCATCAGGCACTGAAAAGCTTATCTCATGAGAGGGTGGCTTGGCTTGTTTAGCAAACCAAAACAAGCTAGGAAAGATTGGGCTCTGTAAATAGTAAGCTGGGTAAGGGTAAACAGGGGCATGGTAATAAAGCTAAAATACTGGAATTTTAAAAACAATGTGTGTTAGAGTTTAATTCATTGAGTGCCACAGTGAATGAAGCTCCTGTAGACTTTTCTCCAACTGCCTGGTTCACATGTCTTTGGGATTCATGAGACTTGGGCTTGCAAGTACCTCGCCTAGATCCTTCCTTGTGGTTCATTTCATAGAATCAAAGAATGGTTTGGGTTGGAAGGGACCTTAAAACTCATTCAGTTCCAACCCCCCTGCCATGGGCAGGGACACGTCCCTCTAGACCAGGTTGCTCAAAGCCCCGTCCAACCTGACCTTGCACACTACTAGGGGTGGAGCATCTACAGCTTCTCTGGGCAACTTGTTACACTGTCTGACCACCCTCACAGTAAAGAACTTCTTCCTTATATCTAACCTAAATCTCCCCTGTTTAAGTTTGAACTCATTGACCCTTTTCCTATCAGTACAGTCCCTAATGAAGAGAAAGTTTCATTGCAAACTCTGATCAAAAAGCAAATGAATTAAATCTATAGAAAGTTTTAAAACTTGTTCCAAGTGTGTCTTTTTCATTGCTTTCCTCCCTCCCTTATCTTTAAGTAGTAATAATATTTTCTTGCTTCCTAATTCTGTAGCCTTACCTTGAAGGGTAACAGTTTTAGCAGGTACCAGGATTGCCTCCTAGCATTCCTACTATGTCTCATCAAATATATCCAGACTGTGGCCAGACCTTCCCCAGTAGTTACTACATATATTTAACTGCAGCTCTAGCTTTTGCAGCTAAAATGTCCTTATTTCCTCTCTCAGGTAGGACATTTAACATTCTTTTTAGCATCTATTAGCCAAAACCACTAAGATTCCCTTTTGCAGTCTGGCTCCCCAGCAGGTTCTGCCAGTTGTGGCGAACAGGATAATGACATGAGTAAGGTATTCTCTTGTTTTATTTACCTCCCTCTGCCTCATGCCCTTTCTCTCCCAATTGCTCAGTTTTCTTAAAAAAATGACAGCTCTGACTGTTGCATTTATTGTTTATTCACTGGCTTATTCTTTAGGTTCTAATGTGAATGGGCTGGAAGAGCCCAGCCTAGCTAAGCGGCTGCGTGGCACACCTGAGCGGATTGAGCTGGAGAACTACCGACTCTCACTGCAGAGGGAAGAAGAACTGGAAGAGGTTCCTGAAGAGACACTAGCAGAGCATAACCTCAGTAGTGTGTTGGACAAAGGAGCAGAAGAGGATGTTCCCAGCAGGTCAGCACACTTTGTCAGTAAACTTTTCTGTACCCATCCCAACAGGTTTTTGCCTGCATTTCCTTCAGCTTTTAGTAACGTATTGTTTACCAGGATGCCCTTTCTAAAGCTGATCAAAATGTTCTGCATGTGCACACAGGTTTTTTTATCTTGTAGTTTCTGTTCTTACTACCTTACCTTGCTACTTATAGCTTACTCCTAACCTAGATGGGAAATAGCTTACTACCATCCTTGGAGGAAACCTACAATACTGTAATACCATGAAACTCAGTCTTAAGTTGAGATTTATTTATTTGTTTATTTATTTATTGTATGAAAGACAAATGAGTTTTAAGCAAACAGAGCATGGATTCAAATGGGAGGAGACTCCAAAATTAACTTTTTTTTCTGTATGTTTTGCATTACAATTCGAAACCAATTTTGGTTTAAAGATCTAAGCTTGACACACGTTTAATCCTGACTGAATGCTTACGCAGTGCCTGAGAGGCATTGATTTGAAGCAATAGCTATGGCTGTTGAAAAACGTGTTGTACTCTCACAAACTTCTCTTTATCTGCAAAACGGTGTATAAGTGCATCACATTGAAGGTGCAGCATCTGGAAAGGAGTAACTTTTAGTAGCCTGAACTCAGCCTTGACAGAGAGTGTGTACATATGGACTCATGAAGGTGTGACTTTCATTTAAGTGCCTGGCAGTTACTAATGTCTTGTACAGCTGTTATGTCTGAAACCTAAATAATACTTTTTGATTAATTTCTTAACATTAACTTCTTTAGAGGATACTGTTCTGGTATTTTACATAATTGAGGTCTTCTCTGGTGCTCTGATTGTATAATCTTGGGACTATTTATGGGAGATAAATTCTGTTTGCTTCACTCAGCCTTCCTTTAGCTCCCTGCTCAGGCCTAGGAATCACGTCAACTGTGACAGTGTAGACATTAATGATATTGAGGGGTTTTTAGTCTTTTATGTTTGTAGCTCTAAACCAAAATTTACTAGTATGGAGCATAGTTATTATTGGCCCTGATTTCAATAAATCAGGACACAGTAATTCCATCAGTAAATGGCAAAAAAAAAATTCCAAAGAGGAGGAGTTAATTAAAGTGGAGTTTTGGCATGAAGCTGTTGGTCATCACCAAAATGTGTTCTGTGAGACACTGGGGACTGACAGCAATACACTGTTACATTAGTGAGTTGGATTTCCTCTCGTAGGGTGTTGTATTTAGCTCCCTTTGTTCTACATGTGTCCACATAACCTGTATTAAACTGAATATTTCAGTCTGTAATAGACCAAATTGTGTAATTTAGCATGTGGAAAGCAGTGTTTAGTGGCAGCTCACATTCTGCGGCGGCAGAGAGGGAAGAAAATACATCAAATTCCCTGTCAGTTTGAACTGGAAAATATTTTGTCCCAAATCCAAACATGGCAAGTAATTTACTCAGAGGACTGAGAAGGGCGTGTGGGCCAAACATCAGAGAGATTTTCTAGATGATACCTGATAGATGATATCAGGTGATTTTCTGATCACCTGCTATCCTCTGTTCAGCTCTACCTGCTCCATGGTATGTCACAGAAAGACCAAAAACAAAAAATGAGGAAAAGTCTGACAACTTCTTCATCAGCGAAAGAAAAAGAACTCCTGCAACAAGCCAACCAAAGCCCTAATTTGATCATGTTCACTGTCTTGGTGCAGCCCTGCAGGGTTAGGAGCAGGCAGAGAGGATGGGGAACTCTTTGTTCCTTCTGTGTCTTACAGAGCGATGAATTTGGCTTCAGGGTTCACTGAGCTGTTAGCTCTAAATCAGGTAGAGACCACACATTTTGGTGCACAGCATCCCATCACACACACACTTAGGAGCATGCACACTGCAGAGAAAGTTTGCAGAAAACAATATTCAAAGTATATTTTTTCAAGAGAGAGTTGATCTTGTTTGAGCTTCAACAAGAAGGATCGTGTCAGCAACCCAGCCCTGCCTACACAGTTTTGAAGGGTGGAGAGTCCTTTAGGTGCCTTATTCATGGCCTTTAACTTGCATTAAGGCCCAGTATGTCATCTGCAGTTTTGGTATAATATACCCTGTGGCCTTTGGAAGCAGTGTCATGTAGAGCTGCGTGGCAAGGGAAGAGGGTCATTTCCACAGTTTAGGTTTCAGTTCCATTCCTGTACTTCAGTTCCTGTAGGTGCACCTTTTTAATGAGATGCTTGACTTCCTATGCTTCTGTAAGGCAATTGATCTCTGCTTTATAGGAAAAAAAAAATAGTGTCAGCTGTTGTATTAATTCCTGTGGCAAGGGGTTGCCATCCTGAAAAGAATGCCCACTATACCAGCCCATCTCACTGCCTTCTTTCAGCTTCTCATTTCTCAGTATTCAAAGGTCAAACAAAAACCAAGTCATAAATAAAAGCTGAAGAAGGTAAAGTGAGCTATGTGGTAAAGAATGTATGTCGTCAATACTACATGAGATAAGCCAGCTGGTTGAAGAGCAGGAGATTGTCCCACTCAGCAGGCATGGCAACAGTTTGAGCAGCAGTAAACCTCATTGACAGCACACAAAAACCTCAGCATGTAACACCTGTCAGGTTTATTTCCATGCCAAAGGGTAGGAAAGTTAATCAGGGAGGAGGGGAACATTGCTTTTTAATCTCTGTGACGATATCTGCATAAAGCCTTTGGAACATGCTTTGGTCTTCTGGAATACACACCAAGTCCACAGCACGCAACTGTGTTTGTATTCAGTATTCAGCATGTGAAAACCAGGCAACCTGTTCAAAATAAATATTTTGTTTATGCTGTGAAAAGGTGGGTTCTAATTTGAGGAAAATAGTTATTTAAGTGCAGAACAGTGAGGAGAATTTAAGAGCCTGTGGACAGAAGTATGTGTCAGAGCATGAAGAAAGTGGTATTTTCCTGATTGGCTTTGCTATCAGAAATAGTCTCTCAGACAAGTAGATGAAAAGTATTATGTAACTATATGCTCCTGTAGTGTTAGACTGATTTGAAGTTCTGCACCTGAATACTGTATCTGCAACAAGTGCTGCCCTTTTTTTTTTTTGAGGCTATCAGTTTTTCACATGCTGTAATTCCATTACAAGAACTGCACAAGTTATATTTTATAAACATACATGAAATGTACACTTCATTATTTTCTACTTGTCGTTTTTCTTTCTCTTCTCTGTGGAATGGGTTCTCCCAAAGGCTGTTAGCTACGGTGATAGCTGTCATAAGGAAGCAGAAGTAGCATACTGTTCTCTGATTACTCATCCAAACTTTAACCATTCACGGACAGTTTCAGTCCTTCAATCCAGATGAATTTCAGCCTTTGAATATTTCTATGGGAAGCATCTAACTGTAGCTCTAATAAATGCAGTTCTTTTATGACAATGATCAAGTAAGGAAAAGCAAAGGAAGAGGACCTGTTGACCCTGCAGGTTTGTTCTCTGAATGAGAGGTAGTTCACATTAATTTTCCAGTGACAAATGCAACCATCTTTCTCCTCAGTTAGCTCTAGGTAGTCCAGCATTTAAGAGTGAGCTAGATTAAATTTCACTGTATAGGTGGTTCCATTTCTTGCCCCTGCTGCTTACACTGAGGAACTGTTAGAGATGTCTGCTAAAAAACACTAATGATTTACTGGTTTGCATGTTTTAGACTTCGCTGTGAGAATAAGCAGCTCATTATTGTAATTGTCCTTGCACTGCACCCTAGAGTTTTTTGCCACTATGTGCACTGTGTACTTAGTTGGATACATATTATAGTTCTGTGACATAGAAAAGTGAGGAATTCTGTACTCCCCCCCCCCCCCCAACTCTCCTTAGCCCATGTGCCTGATAGTCATGTTGTGTGTTCTTTCTACTCCCTAAGCCTCCTGTGGATCAACCCAGCAAGTGCCAAAAACATCTTAGCTATCCAAAATGCTAGCAGTAGCTGCCATTATCAAACGACGTGACCTTCTACATTTTAACGCTGCTAAAACCTCTTGCTCTGTTTTATCCAAAGCAATGTGTTATGGAAAAAATAGTTTCTGCTGTATTCAACTGTCATGAGCTGTAACAATTAATGCTGCACAGGTATTTGAACTTGGCTTTGAAGGCACTTTGCTGCTGCTTCATCTTCTTTAAAAGAAGCAGGGCAAGGCATATTGCAGCTCACATGTGATGCTGTCGATGAATTGACTGTGAAATACTGAAAGCAGAAGATTGATGTTATGGTTTCCATCATATGTTTTGGGCTTGTATGTATTTTGAAACAAGTTGTCAGTGATCTAAGAAACATAAAATAATTGTTTCTTTTCCTTTCTAAACCCTTGTAGTAGTTCAGAGTCTGAGATGGAGGAGGAAGATGAGGAGGAAGATGATGAACTACTGCTGCCTCAGCAACCCCCTTCAGACTTGGGTGGTGTGCCATGGAAAGAGGCTGTGCGTATCCATGCCCTCCTGAAGGGAAAGAGTGAAGAAGAGATCGAAGCTGAGGAAAATCATGAGATTGAGGACAAAGAAGATGAGGAGGAGGAGGAAGATGAAGAGGAGGAAGATGAGGAGTCAAGTGAAGGTTAGACTCATTGATTTGTCCTTCCCTCTTTTTTGCTAGATGGCAGGGAAAACCGAGTTGAGTATTTGTCATGCAGAATGAGAGAGATTTTGCCTTGGAAAACTTTTCTTCTTCTTTCACTTCTTTATTGCTTTGACTTCTGAGGGAGTAACTGTCAATGAAAACTTTAGGTGGATCATTCTGAAAACACATCTTTGCCCACAGGGCAGTTACAGCACTAGTACCAACACAATATGCTTCCCACACACCATGCCAACATGTGCAATTCACAGCTTTGTGGTACTATTGTTTTATTGCTGTTTTTTATTATTATTGGGAATTGGTTTTGAATGTGCCCGTTGTTCTCTGGCAGCAGGAGCTGGAAGCATTGTGGAAGCAGTGTTTTCAGTCTTGCAGAGTGCCTCACTAAGGGGTAGTGCCACTGTAACTGTCATTAGGGCATCCAGAAGAAGCTGCTTGTAGCTCTCCTTAGTTTCCAGATGGTCTTGAAAATCAGGGAATTCAGGTGGTTCCTATTTAGCTCAGAGGGATTTCTGTGGAAAAATCTTAGGGAAAGACTCCTTCCCCTGTGTTTGTCTCAGTCATCAAAATGCAGATTTTGTGCTAAGAATAGACATGTTTCCAGTGTTTCACCACCATGCCAAATTTCTCGCTGATCTTGTCTTTGTACTCACGTTTCCTTTTTGTCAAGACTAGTAGACTCCAAAGAGCTTCTTTGTGAAGGTCTTTGGCTGCCTAATGCAAGCAGAGGTCCAGTTTTTCTGTCTTAGCAGCAGTTTTGTTCATGAGCTCAGCAGGCTGCTTGGCTACTTTTTCAACATAGGATCTGTATCTCCGTAACTGAAGTCTGTGGAAGTGAAGACTGCTTTTTAAGTATGGTAACGTGCATGTTGTGTGTTTAGTCTGCTAAACCATGGGCATTGTTTCATTCAAGCGGTTTTCCTGTCAGACACATTGAATACAGTGGGAGTATGGGAAGCTACTGGGTTTCCAGACTGTGTCTCTGTCTGATTCTGTCCTTTCTCTCTTTTTCTCTGTCGCTTGTGTGTGTACATGCGTGTCTGGTGTTATATATGGATGTGTGGTTCCCTCTGCTGTAGAGGGGGAGTATTGCCCTTGGGAGAGCGAGCTGCAGCAAGGCCTCTGGCTTCAACGTCTTTCAAATGAAGAGGACACGGGTACATTTAAAGGTACCCGTATACAATCTCCACTTCCATTTCCCCAGAGGAGGGGGAAATGTTTTAAAGAGCAGGTCCCACATGAGGAGTTTGTGGTTTATTTAATTGCTTTACCAGCTCCCTACAAACTGGTTCTGTAGCTGTTGTCTTTGTGGTTTATTTAATTGCTTTACCAACTCCTTAGAAACTGGTTCTGTAGCTGTTGTCATCTTCATCTCCTGGACAAAGTGCCATATACCAGGTCTGACACTGCCACTGGTTTTAGGAAAAAGATAAAGCTGCCAGGCACCTCAGGATATCTAGAAAGCCTGGACATTCTGCTGCTGTAATATGCATGAACAGTGACCCCCACATCTTTGGGAGTTCCAGATTAGTTCCATACACACAGGCTAATTGAACCCATGCGATAAGTCAGACACATGGACACATTAGAAGCGCTGCCTATGTATTGCTTTTGTCAGCAAACTTGCTTTTTTGTTGTTGTCCTTTGTTGAATGTGTGTCTCTGGGGAGAGTCTGGTGGGGAAGCTGACCAAGCTGTGGTGATCCCTCAAGATTTTTCAAGCAGTCGTATAATGGGCACAAAATGAACCTGATGTTCCAGTCTGACTGGTTGTGTTAGTTTCCACAATGCTCTTGCACTTCATTTTTCATGGTTGTTTATTTTGAAGCACTTGGTCCTAATAGTTTGCTAATCCCTTATTCCCTCAATGTGGTTCATTAGAACCAGAAGGCATGAGTGGAAAACCCAAATGCCTTCCTGAAGGTAAGAGGGCATATGCAGTTCTCGGATTGCGTATTTCGCAGCTTATGGTTGTAACAACTATAGCTTAGCTTATGACCTTTTCTTTTTTTTTTTGTTTAATTAAGAAAAAAAAAAAAAGGAAGAGGTTTTACAATTTTTACCTATTTAACTCTTCTGATGGTAAGAATGAGAAGTATCAGTAAGATGGCTAAAGAGCATAACTCAAGTTCCCCTTAGGGGAAAGCTACCTTTCAATATGAGTGCAATTAATGTCCAGCTTCCTGCAGAGCTTAGCCGGAGTCCTTGAGAGGGAAGGCCATGCCAGGTGTCACTTGAAATTCCCAAGCATTTAGGCCTCAAGGAAACAGGTTTGTCTGTCAGCCAAGCAGCAGTCCTTCCTGGCTGCCTGTGCTGCTATTTATTTACTGGAAAAGGTGAGAAGGACCCATATCCTAATCAGGACAGCCTCAGGCCTCTGTCCAGAGACTTGTGGAGTAACTGAAGGTGTGTACCTTACGCTGGTCTAAATCCCAGAGAAATCCATTTTAAAACATGCAGATCATGTGGGACCTGCTCTTTCCAAGCCTTGCTGAGGACTATATACTTCTCAGCCATTGCTGGCAAATCTAAACCCTTTAACAGAAACTTTTGTGTGGCGATGCAAATGCTAACTCTACTCATCTTGGGGCCTGCATGCGAGTGCTTTGGTACAGAGTGAGAAAAGCCCAGGTTCCTGTTCCTGCAGGATGTCCAGTAGCTCTGGTAGACCATGTGGTTGTGCTAATTGATAAGAGAACTCTCTGATGAGGCAACAGAGATGCAAAATTGCTAAATACTTGCCTAAATTGAGAATCCCACTCTGCATTTGAGTTTGTGCGTCTGGACCCTTTTCCCCTTGATTAACCGGCTGGTAATTCTGTCCTTCCTGCAGTTCCTTCTGCCTTTTTCTTTTGCAGTTTTAATGCCAAATCTCACACATAGGTATTCCTGAAATGGAAGTCCCAAACACCATGTCATGTCTGGGGAAAACATGGCTGGGGGAGAGGAACTTCGTTAAAACGAGACAGCAAGAAATGAGTGTGACCTTTAAATGCTGCTAATGGTTCTTGTTTCCTTCAAAACTAGTGCACCTAACTGCTTTTGAGGTTCTTAACTGCTGAAACGGGGTTTTGCCCTACTCAGCGGTAATCCAGCTGTTGTGAAAATTGACTTCCTACTTTATAAAGTAAGTGGGCGTTTTCCTTTCAGGATAAGTCATTGCCTTTTGAAGACCACTCCTACAGGTGCTGAACACCTGTTCCCTGTAGAATGAGGGCATGCTGAGCAGTTGAACAAGCTGCTTATCGGTTGTTTTCAGTGCCCTTTATTCCTTTAGACACACCATAGGTAGCTGAGCTTTGTGTATGCACATAATTGAGGAGTAATGCAATTTCTTTTAAACAAATTAATCTGTGTAACAGGAATCCTCTTCTGGGGAAGTGGGAGCGCTGCTCAGTCCTAATGAAAATGCTGTTACTCTTCAAAAAAGCAATTTACCCTGAGCAAGTCAGTACAAAACAGGAGTAAACAAAAGTGTTTGAATTGCTAAAGTAAGTGTATGCCCTTGTCTGTATATGCATGTGCACACAGAACTGAAACTCTGAGATACATCGTGTAATTGAATTCACAAAGGAATACATACCCAGGATACAAAGGAGTACTTAACTTTATAGTAGGGGATGAGAGACTTCTCATTTTGGTGCATCAAACTACAATGCAGGTTGTCCCTTTAACAGCAAGATGGTTTTGACGATAATCGTAATGAACAGGCTGAAGGACCTGGAAATCTGATAAATTGGTACTTACATACCGTGTACTGTTGGACACCCAGAGAATGTCTTTCATTTCAGCAAAGCTGCTTGCAATAGAGAGGATCTACAATGATGTTTTTAATAGCATCTCTCTGCCTTTGGAATGGCATTATTCAGCTTTGATGGGAAGTATGAGGAGTGCTGTATTGGTGTATGCGTGCACACACGATGCTGAGCCTTTTTTTCTGCCTGTCTTGCACACTGATCTTAGCCAGTAATATTTTCTCTTCTTTTCTTATTTCCTTTCCTCTGATGTGTTACCTTTCCTTTCCACTGTTCTCCCACCTTTTCCTCCCTGTCCTTCATGCACCGTGCCTACAACCTGGTATGCCATGCCCTCCTCACGCTAGCTGGAAACCTTAGACTGGAGCAGATTGTAAATCCGGTTGATCCTCTGGAGATCCTGGCAGATGTGCACTGGACACACATCCGTGAAAAAGAGGAGGAGGAAAAAATGGTCCCAACCTCAAAGTCCTCCACCTCCAGAGGTAATCTCCCCTGAGCCCCACACCACCGGTTCCTGGATCACAGTTGCAGCTGTTTAACTGTTGCTTCTGCGCCCTTCAAGAGCAGTGTCCTTCAGCAGGGGCAGCAGTGGTTGAAAGGAACTACTTCCAAATTACGCTGAAATTACACTTGGTTAAACAGTTTGCTTTTCAGGTCCGTGTCTGCTTAAAGTGACTGCTTTCTCATCTCCTTGGTGGTGTGACTTCTTTTGACCCATTGTCTGCCTGTTTTGACTTCATCGCATTTTTCGTCATTACACACGGGATTTGATAGTGCTGGCAATTAGCCCTCAGTGGCTTTAGGGATAGCTGCGGGTTTTGTGGCAGTGAGGGCTCTGTGCTTCTTTAGGGAAAGCTGAAGGACTTTGTTGTGTGGCTACTACTGCAAAGACTGAACAGAGTCAGGTTCTTTATTGAGCATAATTCTCTGCTGCTGCTTTTCAAAGTGTAACTGTGTCTGTTATTAGCAGGGAATGATGGGATTCAAAGAGCTTGCAAATGTGATCAGTGGTGGTTTTGACTCCATGTGTTTAAGATATGACAGTATACCTGTTTTCTGAAGTGAGGTGTGACCTTTTTGAGTTGCCAGTTACTTAAACTTTGGAAGGGGAAAATGCCAGTAGTCTCGTTCTCTTGTAAGCACCTTCCAGCAGTCCCTGCTAAACTTATTCTAGACTGTATTACAGTGTGTCTTAAGGTAAGTATGTGTCCTTAGTTGTCTTCTGCGGTTAAACCACAACATTATCGTAGGTGCTTTGCCTGTGCAGAAGCCTAGACTTAACCATGCAGTTGGTGAACCGTGCTGTTCTCTTCTCTCAGTCTGTGATCATTGTGCCAGAATTGCAGAGGCAGTAAGTATGCTGGGGGAAGCATACTTTTACAGCAGATGTGAAATTAAGTTAAGTGACGGCTCTCTATTAAAAAAGCCTAGGGCTTTACCTCACGTTGCCTGGTCATATTCTGTTCCAGATAGTTATCTCTTCCTCATAGTTGTAGATGTTTGGCTTGGTCTTTTAACCCTGATCCAACTTGTTACAGATCAGTTTGTCTATGCTTATAATTGCAATTTGTAGAATGCACTGGGATTTTCCGGTGTGAAATCTCCTCCGTACAAATAAGAGATGGATGTTTCCTTCCCACTGCAACCACAAAACAGGCAAAGGTCAACTGTCTGTAACATTCAGTATTCTGATGTAGTTGCTTAATGTTTCTTAAGCTTACTACAATTAAGGTTACTTTAGCTTCTGCTTGAGGGTCTGCATCACTAGGGTCTAATTTTTTCTTTCCATTTGTATTTTCTAAACTTTCCATAGTGTATTGGTGCAGCAACCAGAGAAATACGATTCTCCCAAAATAGATTTTGTGGTATTTCCAACTTCTTCTGGGAGGAAAGGCAGTATTTCCTTGCCTTCCCCTAAAACTGGAGCAAACTGGGACAATCCTGATTGATCCATTAGCTGCTTGAGTTACTTTGCCATACAACAGTACAGGTGTATGCAGGTGTAGCAGCAGTTTGGTTTTTCAAAGTGCTGTCACTTTATGCCCCATACCCATCTACTTGTGGATATGCTGTAAGTTTTCAGCCTGAATTTAATAGACAAATTTATTCCTGGGTGAGCTGTATTTTGTGATACAAGATGTTTGGAGAGACTTTCTGCAGCAGTGGCGATGGGGTTTGTTGTGAAAGCCTGGGATAGCATGAAGATACTCTCATTCTGCTTTGGGTGTTCTTCCTCGCCTGCTGGCATTCGCACCTGGGAGCAGAGGCTCTGGGATGCCTGTTAGGACTGCCCTTCTCTTATTGCTCAGCTCTTTCATCTCTTAGTTTCCCCCCTCTGCAGAGTTTCAAGTGGAGTACAGCAGTGCAGCAACCCGTTTCACTTTGCCATCTCTACTTCCTCTAACATTACAGCTCCTAGAAAAAGAGTAGGTCTCTGAGTGTGTTCTCTCCACTTAAATCCCAAGCCTGGAATCTGTTGTTTTAACATCTCGTAGGTTTTATTCCTGTGTTTGCTACTGAAGTTTCCCTCTGTCACTCTTCTGTTTTAGACACTTGCTGATGGTCTAATTTTGATTTCTTACAATTTATTGTTTTTTAAATTCAGCATCCGACCTTCCCTCCGTACGCCATGAGGCGGTACAGGCGTGGCTGGAGACGGTCCCTGGAGGTAGTTTGGTGATGTTCTATGTATTCCAATGCACAATAACCCTGCCCGTCTCTTCTCCATGCCTTCAGCAGCTGAGCTGGTACTTTAACCCTGGAACTTATGGCCCTGTCGCTACTGCATGACTGGACACAGAGGGAGGGAGGAAGGGGGAGTGTGCATGCACGCCTTGCTCAGATAGTCCATTCTTGCATGACCTCAACCATGTAACCCTCCTGAAGGCAGGCCAGACAGAGAGGTTATCTTGGGAGTAATAATGTAGAAAGAAGACTCTAGTTGAGTGCTTCGATTTGCTTTGTAAACTGGAGACTGGACTGTTTATTCTTTCCCTAGCTCCTTGACTAAAAGAACATGGGGCTTTCTTGCAGTTGAATGATTGACAGAGAACATTTAAAGCAATTGCAGTTCTCTAGCAACTGCAAACTGTAGTTACCTGGTGAAGTAAACAGAAAGAAGAACACGGTTGAAGCTGGGCTCTTTGGGAATAGCGATGGCTTTTATGTCTCCTTTGACTTGGGGTTCACGTTATTTACGAAAGCCTCAGGAAAGTGGGAGGATGGTAGAGCTCAGCTGCCTTTTTTATGTGGTCCTCTAAGCTCCATTACAAAACCAATGAGCATGAAGATTCTGGGATTAGCGTAAGGGTGCAAATTTGTGTAAAGCAGTGAAGGCGTTAAAACCAGTGGAATAGCAGTAGGTTGTGGCTGGGTAGTTGATCTGCAGCTGAGTTGCTTTGGTACATCAGAATAGCTAGCTTGCCTATAGACCTTTGCTTCTGCTGCTGCTTTGCAAAGGCAGCAGTGTTTACAAGATGTCTGCACATGATGCAGTCTGCTCACAGCTGCTAGCTGATACAAACCAAGTGCTGATCCAAGTTTCTGGCTGCCATAGTGTATAGCTTCTGAGTTATGGTGTGACAGCTTTTGGCCTCTTGCTCCTTTTCCTCACTGCAGATACGTATATGCGCAGTATATGTATAGTATAACGAGCCACCTGCAAACTCTCCATGTCCCTCAGTGGGATCCACCCTTGCACCAAGTTGTTATTTATCTATGCCTCTGTAATCATCTGTGAAGTTTTGTGTACCAACCTATTCAAGAACTTTCTCCCCTCTCTCCAACATTCCTTGTATGTCCCATGTCAGTTCATGGTTTCTGGATCTGAAGACACACATACACATAGTGGTATCAGATATTCCTAACATCAGAATTATACTTTTGCAAGTACTCATATTTGCTGCTACCATAAAACCATCCCATGACATTGTTCTTTCCAAAATAACATAAGCTACTGTATACCTAAGCAACAATCAGACTGGGGCACTGGTTTGTTCAGTAGATTTGTAAATGCCCTTCTGGGCAGTCCAGCCTTTGCCATATGATTCAGTCTCCTATGCTCCACATCCATAACATTCTGAATTTTATAAGCCTCTGATGTAAGGGAATAGGCCAGTGCTTTATCACATGTAAGAGTAACTGCCTTTTCACAGTAGTTGACAAAATAAAGTAGCCCATATGTTTATCTGTTTTAGTACTACAAGGGGAAAAGCATGGGAAAGATAAATTCTCTGGTTGAAGGAAGAAGACAAACCAGCCACTGAAGGCTGTGTTTTGAAATAAACAGAAACCTGTATTAGAGGAGAAGCTGGAAGACCTCAGTTTTAGGGAGGGTTGGTTTGTTTTCAAGATTCTCCTAATTAGCAATGCTAAGCATATAAATGGTTCCAACCATTTCACATTGTCACTAGTAAACAAAAAGGATCAGGGCCTATTCCCTGATGCAGGAGAAAGCTGGTGCAGCATGAATCATTCCCATACGGCTACAGAATCAGGAGGCTGCATCTGGACTGCCTGTTGGAAACAGCCTCTCACCCTACCATGGGAGCCAACTGCTGGGAGACATGCCAGGAGCCCTAAAGATGATAGCATGACACTGTATGCATTCAGGTCTAGAGATTTCCACTGCTTAGTTTACTCATATAGGTGCAACAAAGAATGTTATAAATCTGTCTGTTATCATTGTTACAGGACCATATCCTATGTGCATAATTAGCAAACATCGTGCCTAATAATACACGCTGTGTATGCATTTGCAATAGGATACACAACAGAGTTAAATGTCTGCATGTTGTTGAACACGAATTGATGCTAACTCACTGCACAATCTAAAAATGTAGTTGACTGACTCTACTACGCAAAAAAAAAAAACCAACCCCTGGAAGTGCTCACTTTTTTTGTTTGTTTAAATTGTTTTATGAAACTGCTTAACAAACAAAAGTTAAGCAAAATCATGCATAGCATGAGATGGGACAAGGTGTCAGAAGGTTTACGGTTTTTAAAAAGTATTATTTAATAATGAAATTCAGCCCCCCCCAGTCTTCTCTCTCCTCTTGTGATTGAATCCCTGTCACAAGGAGTAATGTCAGATGCCCTTTTCAGAGTTATAAGCTCAAGAATCTTTTCTTTATTTTAACTCAGCAAATCAAATTCTGATCTGTAACTGGAAGTTTTGAATGTATCTTTTTATTCACTTTAAATGTCTGAACTTACATCCTAGTTACTTGTACAGCATAACAAGTGTCTCAGGCCCTGCACAGAATTAAACAGTTTCCAAATGTAATAATGATCTATCACAGAGGTAGACTCTCTCTCTGACTTACACCCCAAAAGCCTGATTCAATTTTAAGGTGAACAGTTGTGGTACATTGTGAAATTCCAGTTTTCACCCAATACGCATATGCTGTAAAGTGATGGCGACTGTTCTGCTGTGGTAAAGAAAATAATAATCTTCCTGGAAGAACAGTAAACTTCATTGTGGTTTAATGTCCTCCCAGTCTCCTTGTTTGATTTTGGACAAGGCTTGTTGCTCAGAAAAGCCCTGGATGCTTTAAGTGCAAATACCTTGGAGGCTCCCCAGGGAAGGGCATTCCTTGATTTGTTGGAGTCTGGAAGTGTCATTTCACCATAGATGTCTTTCAAGGTGACACATTTCAGGATTTCTTGTTTTGGCAGAAGTTAATGAATATCTCCACTATAAAGTGTTGGTGCAGTGCCTTTCACTGTATAGTGTCTTTTTTCTCTCCTTTTTTCCTCAATATTTGAATATATTCTAGCTCCGTGTGAGGATGATGTGGAGGATGAGCTGGGCACAGAGCCTGCAGACACAGAAGGGCAGGCAGGTGAAGAGGGAGACACGGGTGCAGAGCTGGATGACGGTAGGGTGCCACTGTGCATCGTTTAAACCTGTTGTGTGAGCAGAATTTTATTGGCAGAAAATACTTTGTATGAGGGTATTTGTGATCATACTTTGTATGATCTTTTGTCAAACCTGATCTTATTTTCAGGGATGTAGGGGGGTTGTTTCAAATAGTCAAGAGGGAGCTAGGAGTGAAGGACAAAAAGAAACAGAAGAACCTCAATGCTGTGTGTTTTAGGACAAATCTCTTATGTCCTCTCACCATCTGCTAACTAGAAGGCATGCTTTGTATCCATATTCAGTACTAATCCTGCTGAATAACAGAAACAGAAGTAAATTTGTGAAAAGCCCACAATGTTATGCAGAAAGTCTTCCCTTGCTAGTGTAAAATGATCTGCATATGCCAGGAAACATGGAAAATTTGCCAGAAAACCATTAATGTGTGACTTCAATTACTAATTTAGGTATTTATACTAATAGTCCATCATTTACTGCTTAAATGACTCCAATTAGCACATGAAAAAGGGATTGAAACGTTTCATGTTTTGAAAGGGATTAGCAGCATGTGAACAGGAGGAAAGGATTATGAAAGACTTTTGGGTAATAAAGAGATGTCCTGATGGACTTGTATCCAATATTTCTTGGATTTTTTTCTCCCTTTTTTCCACCCATGATCAGATGATATCCCATCTGATGCAGAAGCAGAGTTTCGCTTACATCAAGGTGGCACAAAAGAGCCAGAACTAAAAGTCTCTGAAGATGAAGAAGATGAAGAGGAAGCAGAAGGTGCTTCTTACAGTGTGGCAGAAGGTAATAGCTTTCCCATCAATGTTTGAATGATTCTAGTTGCATTTGAGGTAGTCTATACATTTATTAGATTTAAGAGAACACAGTCTCCAGTAACAAGTGGTGTTACTCAGGGATCGGTGTTTGGACCGGTCTTGTTTAACATCTTCCTCGCTGACATAGACGGTGGGATTGAGTGCGCCCTCAGCAAGTTTGCCGATGACACCAAGCTGTGTGGTTTGGTTGATATGCTGGAGGGAAGGAATGCCATCCAGAGGGACCTTGACACGCTTGTGAGGTGGGCTGATGCCAACCTCATGAAGTTTAACCATGACAAGTGCAAGGTCCTGCACCTGGGTCAGAACAATCCCAGGCACAGCTACAGGCTGGGCAGAGAAGAGATTCAGAGCAGCCCTGTGGAGAAGGACTTGGGGGTGCTGGTTGATGAGAAAATGAGCATGAGCCGGCTTCAGTGTGCGCTTGCAGCCCAGAAAGCCAACCGTATCCTGGGCTGCATCAAAAGGAGCGTGACCAGCAGGTCGAAGGAGGTGACCCTGCCCCTTTACTCTGCTCTTGTGAGACCTCACCTGGAGTATTGTGTGCAGTTCTGGTGTCTTCAGCATAAGAAGGACATGAAACTGTTGGAACAAGTCCAGAGGAGGGCCACGAGGATGATCAGGGGACTCGAGCACCTCCTGTATGAAGATAGGCTGAGAAAGTTGGGGCTGTTCAGCGTGGAGAAGAGAAGGCTGCGTGGAGACCTCATAGCAGCCTTCCAGTATCTGAAGGGGGCTTATAGGGATGCTGGGGATGGACTCTTCATTAGGGACTGTAGTAATAGGACAAAGGGTAATAGGTTAAAACTTAAACAGGGGAAGTTCAGATTGGATGTAAGGAGGAAATTCTTTCCTGTGAGGGTGGTGAGGCACTGGAATGGGTTGCCCAGGGAAGTTGTGAATGCTGCATCCCTGGCAGTGCTCAAGGCCACGTTGGACGAGGCCTTGGGTGATATGGTTTAGCGTGAGGGGTCCCTGCCCATGGCAGGGGTGTTGGAACTAGATGATCTTAAGGTCCTTTCCAGTCCTAACTATTTTATGATTTTATGATTCTGTTTGCACCATCTCACTACTCTAAGTGGCAAGGCATGTGCTTACATTAACGTTTTGAGAAGAATGTTCTGAATACATTAACTGTAGCTTCCTAAAGTGTGAGAAAGCATCCAACTGCTTTTCCTGATTGAAGTTTTTATGTTCAAAAGCTTGTGCCATTTTTTGTGGTTTTTTTTTTTTTTTCTATGTTCCAGATGTCCAATCTAGAGTTTATAAAGAGCTGAGAAATTTGTCACTGTTTGCTGTGTGTAACACTAAAAAAGAAAATAATATTAGCAGTATCATGTGTGCTTGGAAACATTTTTGCTTTCCCTAGATCCATGCAAGCCATCCATCCCTATCCAGTCACCTGGTGACACTGTTCTTCCTCTGTCTCCAGCTGAAAGTCCCAAAGCAAAACAAGCAGAGGTAAGAAAGGGAATCTGTGGAGTTTTCTGCTTACTATCTGTAGTTCAGTAGAAGAGTTTGCTGGATAAACCAATGAGGGCTAACAGCAGTGGGCTTTCCTCCTTTCCTGTTTCTATAATTTGTGTTGATCATCTTAAAATCTGACTTCATGTAGACTTAAAAAAATAATAATTTACTATCTTCAGTGTGTAGAGGCTCTGTCACAGTCACGCAAGTTCCCATCACAAAGCCCTAGAAAGAGCTCTGCAGGGTATTTTCATTTCATTGTGCACTTAACAAGAGATAGGATGAACAAGGGGAGCCATAAGCAAGGTGTTTCCAGTTTGTCCTTGTTTGGCTGTCTTTTCTTTACTAAAAGCAGATTCTGTATAGTTGCAATTCAGTATTATATTTGTATTACTTAGTAGTAGTTAAAGCAATGCATATTTCTTCCAGAGTAACCACATAGTTCAGCTTAGGGATGTGAGACATATGAATGATGTACCGTCATGTTGTCAGCCCTGGAGTCCACATGCAAATGGGTTTCCAGCTACTGGTGTTTCAGATCAGGAAGTACATGACCCTTAAAATGTCCAAATTTCTCCCTCCCAGGTGTTTGTTTTTAATGAATTACTGAAGGAGCAGACTTTATCTTAGAGAGTTTTGTCATAAACCAGTTTACTTTTACAATGGACACATTATGGGATAAACCTGGTTTGCTGACAGCAATCACTGACAACATTCACTTTCTGTTAAAAATAAGGGGTTGGATTTTTTGTTTTCTCTATTCAGCAGTATCTAATGATTCTAGTAGACATAGTTATTTTTTATATCAGGACAGTGCCTAAATGCTGTACTCAAGACCTGGGTGTTTAATATGTGTCATATAAGTACACAGATAGGTAGGTTTATGCTCTAGTGCTTATGTGTCCAGTGCACCAAACTGTCTACACCCAAAAGCAAGCTGGTAGAAAAGATGCCATTGGAAAGAATAATACCAGAACTCAGTAAGAGGAGTCAGTGAATTGTGCTACTGAGTAATATGGTAATCTAGATATAGGAGATGAAAACCAAGACTTGTAAGACCATTATGGGGCAAGGAAATTACAGCTTAATTTACTCTTATCAGAGAAAGCACCCCCTGCTTTAAGCAAACATTACAGCAGATGCTAGCCAGCAGAAAGTGCTATATTGATGAGAGCCAGAGAGACTTGCATCAAATCTGTCTGAGTTGAGGCACTACCACAATACACAGAGTTGGAGATTCAGAGGGAGAGCAGGAAACAGATAGAAACAGAATTCTGGAGTTTAGGTTACTGTTTGTAATCCAAAAATTAAATTTCCCTTGTTGACATCTACAGAGGACAGTTTTTACATCAGGGCAGCAAAAAGAATGATACCTGATGAGAAATCCTAAGTGATGTTCCAGGCCTGCGCATGGGATTCTACCTGTGGGGGTTTTCGTATTTTGATACTTGGATGGTTTACCTATTGCTCACTTTGTTAAAAGAGGGGAAGAGAAAAAACAAAAACAAATAAACAAAATAAAACCAGTATTCTGATGTGCCCACTGACTATATTTCTGGATTTCATTTTTTGTAGGATGTAAAAGTTCCCCTGGCTGAAGTATCCCGTGCAATAAAATCGCCAGAGGCACGCTTCTTTCCTGAGCCTTTCCTTCTTGAAGGACCAAAGGATGAAATTCCCAAAGACAGGAAAGTTAGAAGCCCTCTGATACCACCATCACCAGTGTTATCCCAGCCAGTTGCATCACCAGAAGCCATTGCATCTACATCATTGGCAGAGTCTCAGCCAGCATCACCAGCACTGTCTTCATCTGCAACATCTGCTCAAACGCCTATCTGTTCCCAGCCTTTGCCTTCTGCTGAAACATCCATTCCATCCCCAGTGGAGCCTCCAGTATGCTTCCAACCTGTCCCAGCCTTAACGTCTACTCCTTTAGCCAAACTAGTCTTCAGGGGCCAGGATAGTGAGGTGGAAAAACTGGGGAGCCCTACTACTGCAGAAGAAGCCCTGAAAAGGAGTAATCTTGTAGAAGAGTTCTGGATGAAGAGTGCTGAAATCCGGAGGAGCTTAGGGCTCACCCCAGTAGACAGAAACAAACGCTCAGAGACAAACTTTAATGTATCTGCCCTTGAGACAACTCCTCTGAAGACTTTTAATAGCCAGAAGATTTCAGGGGATGAAAGGATCCATCTTGTAAAACCCCAGCCTGCCCCAAGAAGACAGGGATTGTCCAAGTTAGAAAATGAGCAGATTTCTCTTCTGACTCCAAAATCTCCATCAGAAAAAGAGCTAAGGAGTTCCAGTGAAGTAAGAGATGTATCCAGCAGTTCTGGACTTGGCCTTCAGGAGAGCTCATCTAACATGAGAACTATGGCTAGCCAGAGCTTCAACACTTCTGACTCTACTATGCTTACTCCTCCATCAAGTCCGCCACCACCGCCTCCTCAGGGTGAAGAACCAGCCACTTTGCGTAGAAAGAGGCATCAAGCAGTCTGGCAGAACGAGGTTGAAGCCAGGTCACCTCCAACACCAGCATCAACACCTCCTGTTCCCCCACGCCATGAGCCGACCTCTGCTGCCAAAGAGCCAACCCAGGCCGAAAAAGACGATGTGCGGAAGTCTTTTGCAGAGAGTGTGGATGAGATTCCGTTTGCTGATGATGTAGAAGACACGTATGATGACAGGACAGAGGACTCAAGCCTTCATGAGAAGTTCTTTACACCTCCTACCAGTAGGCCAAGGCCAGAGAAACCACGCCTTTTGCCTTTGGTCAAAGAAAATGGTGGCCCACCCTCAATGGAAGGAGGGGTTAACCAGAAGAAGCGAGCGTTGCCTGAGATCTCTGTGGAGGCCAAGGAGCTTGCTGAAGAAAGAATGAGAGCCAGAGAGAAGTCTGTCAAGAGCCAAGCACTGCGGGATGCCATGGCTAAACAGTTGTGTAAGATGAAAGATATGGAGATGGCTGCAGCTGCTGCTGCTGGGACCACAAGGGCAAGAAAGGCATCTTCTATGCCCTTGAAGACCAAAGAGTTGTTTTATGACTCTCCAAAGCATCTGGCTTTGAAAATAGCAGAGGGATCAACACGAAAGCATGATGGTGCTAGTGAGAAGTTCTCTACTCCTGCTGCTGAAATGGCTGGACCTGAAGGGTCTGTCACCTCTTCAGAGGGCTCCAGTGGGAAGAGTAAAAAAAGAAGTTCTCTTTTCTCCCCTCGTAAGAACAAAAAGGAGAAGAAATCCAAAAATGACAGCAGGCTTTCTGACAAATCTAGTGGCGGGACAGAGGAAGCAGCAAAGCCTAGGTCATTGTGGAAGTCTGTTTTCTCTGGGTATAAGAAAGACAAGAAGAAAAAAACTGATGACAAATCCTGCCCAAGTACTCCCTCAAGTAGTGCCACTGTGGATTCTGGCAAGCACAAAGCTTCTCCACTGATTATAGCTGCAGGTATAATAGATCTATGCCTCCGCACTGTGTACTTTTTGTACAGCTGGGTATCCTTGACAGTATGTTTGGCTTACTTTGTCATTGAGCTGCTGTGCTGAATGACACTGCTTCCCAGCGACAAATGGGCAGATCAGGAAGAGTGCGAGTGACTAGAACTGCATGTTTGCATATTGACAAAAGTAGTTGATAGGCCACTGAAAAAAAAATAGATCCTTAAATAAAAGCTTCGCTCTTGAGGTATACAAGGCATATCTGTTTTCTGCCTTAGACTGGCTTGAGAACTAAGCGCTGTTTGTTGTAATCAGTTGTTTGTGACATTTCATCTCTATTGTAACTCTGTTCATCATCTTTTCTTTGGGTGATCTGTTCTTTCTTTCAGTCTGGCTCCGTGAATGCTAAAGACTGCAGAGATGCAGTTACTGCTGTGTTCTCAGTGATCTGGCAACTGTCTGCTGATCTGTGAAGTGGGGATTCTGTGACCTCATATATATCTCTCACGTGCCATCAGGGGCAAATGGAGATGTTTAATGGCAACTTGTGATACAGTGAATAAGTTAGCCATAAATGCAATCAAAAGTGAGCATGTTACATTTCCCTGGCCCTGTAGAAATACGCAAAATGGTGCCAGCTGCTGTCATCCAAGCACTCTGTATATCGTAAGAGCATTGATACAGTACAAAGAGAGAATCATGACCGTTATTTTTAACAGCATTTGCAGAAAGTGATGCTTTCTTAAACTAAAGCTTCTCACTAATATTGATCATTTTATGGATAGGTGCTTCTCTGGTAGCTCTGCAGTCGCAGGCAAAGCAACTGAGACTGCCGTAAAAGGACGGAGTATTTCTGAAGCTCAGTCAGACAACTTGTAGCTGAGTTCTGAAATGTTTACAGAAAGAATGGTCACCAGTTCTCTAACTTCCCTTTTTCATTCCCGGCTTCTCAGATTTGCAGCTCCGTCAACACCTGAGTTTCTCAGAGGACTCCGACCTCTCCAGTGATGATATTCTGGAACGCTCCTCCCAGAAATCCAAGCGAGAGGTAGGCAGATGGGAAACACATTTGAGATGGTTCTGGCATTGTGCAGATCAGAGGCTTAAAGAACCACATCAGAAACTTGGATGATTTTGTTGGTTTTACTGTTTTTTCCATGGAACAGGCTTTTCTATAAGTTGGCTGGCTGTTCTGCCTACAATAAGTCGGTTTCACTTGGTTTCACAATTGCAGTTCTGCTGTTGTTATAAGAAGGATCTGTTGTCTCACTATGACATTATTTTACAACAAATACTGTAATCAGAATAGTGTATTTTGTCCCTGTTGTGACCATGCCCATGATCTACAGAAAACACACATTTATTGTCAGAAGATAAAATTTCACTGGCTCTGATATTATGGCAAAAAGATAATAATGAGACAGTTCTCACTTTTTGTTAAAGGTTGATTTTAGGGTGTTGCTTACTAGCCTCTCTGAGAGCTTGAAGTGGTAGAATTCCAAGCAAACTAAAGATAGGAATGTATTTTTGCATATATCAAGAGCATAAAGACAGATCATCAACTAAGAGGTAAGCTATAGGCTGCTGTTCTTCAGCTCATGCAGGTTTTCTTGTTTTTCCTGGAAGAAGAGAATGCGTAGTCTGAATTGGTACCTTCTCTTTTTGGAGAAAAGATGAGCCATCAGCTCTTTCTTCCATTTTGACCCTGCTTTCTTTGAGGACTTGGGATCATTTAGGTTGGAAAAGACCTTTAAGATCATAGAGTCCATTGCTGATTATTTCCACTTGTCTGTGTGCGTAGATAGCAACTGTTAAGCTGAAATACACAGTTGATCTTGGCCTGGTGTTGTCATTCCAGTGTGGTGTGGTATTAACTCTGCTTCTTCTGAGAGCTGTTCTTGTTTCTGACCAACCTTCCTAGCTAGTGCTATAATGTCATACTGTAAGACGTATCAATGGCTTTCTAGCCAGTTTCACTCTACGTGAAACTCAAGAGAGCAGAGTAGAGGAAAATCACCTTCCCAAAGTGCCAAAATCAGTTGCTTTTAAACTATTCATTTCAATTCCAGGATGGCACTATTAGTGCAAAAGTAAGAGAGACACGTAAGGTACTGCTCAATCATTATTAACAGGGAAGAGCCCTTCTTTCATTCCTGAGAGCTTCTAAGCCCTGCTAGACAGTGTTTGCAAGGTTTGGAGGAATAAGTAGGTATTCTGTTGACTCCACAGAACACAAAGGCTCTTCTGGTACTGACGAATGAAAAATGTGTTTCCCCATCCTTTCCTGGTGGTGCGTGCTTCACATGTTAAAAAATATTCTGGGAGAACCTCTGAGACGTTACAGGTGCAGTGGTCTGTGCCTCCTGTCTCAAGCCTATCACCCAGTTATGTACAAATCACTCTCACATGGCAGGTTCTAGTTGGTATTTGGCTCAGATGGCAAAGGTATGGAAGTACTGTAAATATAAGTGATACAGGGAGTGCTTTCTATGTATATATAGTGGAATGAGCTAGAATAACTAATGAACTTAAGGTGGTGGAAGGAGTTAATGAAGTAGTTGCTGTGTTTACTTACCTCTTCTAATCTCTCTCTGTGGTTGATCTAGACCTATTCTGAGAGGAAGATAATTTTGTTTTTATTTTACTCCCTTTCTTCTCTCCCCCTTCCATCCCTCCTTGCATGCACTCAAGGCATTTCATGAGAAATTCTGCATTTTCCAAGAGATGCAGAAGAATGAGGTACCTGTGGCTACCAAAGGACAGATACACAATACAGGGGGTTCAGATAAAAGCTAGAGTTGATGTTCTGCCTTTTAAGCTCCTCTAGGAGGAAGCAGGGCTTCAGTGAGGTCCATGCTTGTTTTCAGACTTCAGTATACCTTGACAATCATTTTCTTCCTGTGCTGAGCTACTTTGATTTAAAATGGCTTTTGCATTGGAGGGGATAGAAGTGGCAGATGCCTCAGGTCCTAATACTTGAAGTATCTCACCAGCTCTGTTAAGGGTGTGGTGGTGTCTCTTTTCTTCCCATTTGCTGTTGCTGAAGTTCCATTAGCAATTTATTTGCTCAGCATCTGCCTACTTTCTAAAGAATAGTTTTAAGAGTTAATTTATTTTGAGGAAACAAATCTGAGAACTCCACTTAACCTCGTTTTATTGCCTCCTGTCCAAGGATGTAAATATACATGCAAACACTGGAATGCCTTGCTGTCAAAAGAAATGTAACTGAACTTTGAGACTGGCAAAACCGGGTTTGTACTGGTGGGATGCAAGGGTTATATTTGGGCTATTATGAACTGCCTGCTACTTATATGGATAAGAATTTTTTCCTTGTGCCACATAACTTTTATGTGAACCCCTTCTCTAAACTGAAATTCTGCTTGTGTTGCTTTTTTGGTAACTGTAGTGAGCTTGCTTCCCAGAAAATGTGCTCTTGTTTAGCCTGTTCTTTGTGATCAGCAGTGAATTAATTCAGTGTTGTTTAATGTTGTGTCTTTCAAGAGAAGCATCTTGTAAAGAATTCCTAATGTAAATGCCCCGTGGGTCTTGTATTTATAGGTGTTTGTCATTGTGTGTGTGTGGTGTTGTTCCTGTACAATTGTGGTACTGTGATTGGGCACGTGTATTACTGCCGCAGGTAGCTTGCTTTTACTGAGGTTTGCATACATGCTGAAGTTGCTCTATGGCTTTTTATTTGTCAGTGGTTTCAGTTAATTGAGTATAAAAATGCAAAATGCTGTCTGTTTGCCCAGAATGGCACAATGACCCCTGTACTTCCATGATACAAGGGAAGTTTACCTTTCTCGTAAATGCTAAGTAGTTTACTTAAGGTATTACAGGGTGGTGAAGAATGTCCTTGGATAGAGAAGCTAGTGATTTATCATCCTTTTCTCATCCTTCTCGTAAGTGTGGCTCCAGAGGCTCTCCTTTTAGACAGGGAGATTCTGTTTCTGTAGGGCACATAACTCACTCTGAGCCCATCTGGTGTTTTCGCTGTCACAAAGCAGTGAGGAAGATTAATGATGTTAGCCAAATGCAAATGATCATTTCTATGAAGAAGAGATAATTTAAAACTCTGATTTAAACACAACTCCTGGAAGAGGTTCTCAGTGAGATTGTAACTGGAGAGTTGTGTAACAGAGTAATACATGGTTTGTTGAGCCAGTTCAGACCAAACATGCCCCAGCATAAGCCATTAGTCCAAAGCCAATGCCAAAATTTTGTATGTGCACAGAGTTGGTCAGTGGACATTAAAACTGTGGGTAGATAAAGGCCAAATAATTCCTCTAGAAGAAGGTATTTTCTAGTTGACTATATCTTCAGAGAGTCTGCCAAAGCTAATTGCCTTGAGGAAAGTGCTAGAAACTTGATTTTGCAGACAGAAGTTCCATTGTGCTTTATCAGTCTGGGTCACGTTCAGCATTTGCACAATTTTATGTTTCATTAAAAATCAGCTTTGTTTTATTACTGTGCATCTGTTTTCAATGTTGAACTGATTTTGCTTCATTTTGTACGTTTATTTTTGTTTCCCTTTACCATTCCCCCTTTAAAGTCGATCTATGTACCACACGCCTTGGCATTCAAGAGATCATATTCGTCAAAGGTAGTGTCTCCATTCCCACTAGTTGGCCATTGTTGCATTGCATGTCCCTATATTAACCCACTGAATCCATAGCTACCCATCACATGTGCACTAACAATCACGATCATTGACTGTGCATGCGTGAGATGTTAGCAGACATGGGCAGCAAATTCTTTGTAGAGGTTGTCTACCAGAATGCATTAGGCTCCAAATTAAGCTCTGTCTGGTTAGAATGCATGCCATTGTCAGTGCACCACTGTACAGAACGATGTGGATGATCTTTGAGCTTCAGAACAAATTAGGTTTTAAGGCAATTGAATATGTATGCACATTCTTTTTTTAATACTTAGACTATGAGTTCAAGTGAATTACCACACTTCAATCAGCATCCTTCAAAATCATTGAGTTCATTGGAATCCTAGGGAAATTCTGTATCCAGCTAAAATCAAGACAGAAGTTGCATTTCTGTTTCAGGAGTGTTGTTGCTTTCTGAAATTCTTATTGTCCTGTCTTCACAGTCACAACAGTATTACATGCAATAGGAAAGTCACAGCCTCTGTCACTTTACCTTCTGATTTGGGTATCACTGTGGATTTTGTGTATTTGAAAAAAGAGAGAATAAAGCGTTAACCTTTTGGAGCTTTAATAATGGTGGTGGCTAACCACCTATCTGAGGGGCTAACCACCTATCTAAGGGGTTTTTAACAGTCCTGCCTTAAACTCTATTCACTAAGAACAATGAACCAGAGATAGACTGACCAATGTGGCAGTATTGTAAGTAAAGCAAATTTCAGGGTGGTCTATCTTAACATTTTGTCCTTAAAGTTGATTGTCCATGGAGAAGATCTCTTCCCAGAAGCAGAAGACATCTCTCCACAGCTTACATGTGCTTAAAGCTTATATACGTGTACGTGGGAGGAGAGCTCTTTTCTTCACTGTACACTTAATGCAGTTGTGAAGTTTCTTTGACACTCTTAAAAGTCTGTGAGAGGAAGCCTTCCTAGACTGCAATGCAACCAACTAGTATGCCTGAAAAGATATTAAACCCCATTTCAGTAATGTTTTAAAAGACTTATTTTTAAACTAGTTTCGCTGAGAAAAAGAGAGAAGGAAGAAACACCTTTCTATTTCTATAAATGGAAGGCATAAATATAAGGCAATAGACATAGCCTTTCTTCTTTTGGATGGCTTCTGGTGTTGTAATAGTCTAATTTTACTTTAGGGATTCTTTGGTCTGTTTTACAACAGCCAGTTTTGTGCGGTTGCTCTTGAGATGGGATTTCCCATCTCACACCAGAATGTCATTCAGCTTTCAAATGTCTTTCTGCCTTCTTGATTCATAGAAAAGTTGCACAAATTTACACAGGTAATTTTTACCAGTTTTACCAGTATAACTTCCAACTGTGAATGTTCTTGCTCCAGAGTAAAATAGGGAGAGGGGAATACTGGTCCAGCTACCCTAGTCTAAAATAATTTCTTAGCTTATACTGCTGTAACTGTTTACGTAGACATGCCTTTTCCCTCTTTTAAAATGAGATCAAGGTGACCCCTCTATATGGCACTCATTTATTTAACTAAATCCATTTGGCTAAACCTGTTGAGAAATTGAGTAAAAATTGATTTGAACTTTGGGGAGATGTTTCATAGCAGTGGAAGTCAGAGGTGGGATATTATACGAAATCACAGCTTTGCAGTTGGCTTATATGCTTTTTCACTCCCGATTTGCCCCTGAAATTGTTGCTCACTGCACTGTGAACACCTTTGCCTACAGAAGCTTGACTTTTGACACAGCCATGGTAAAGACAGAACACCTCCCTTCTGAGATTTTGGAAAAGAAAATGGTCATCCCTCCCCCAATACCTCTGACCATGCATATAAAATCTGCCTCTGGTTTTCCTTCCTTCAGAGAGCCTACACAGAAGAGGAACTGAATGCCAAGCTGACCCGGCGAGTACAGAAAGCTGCCCGTAGACAAGCCAAGCAAGAGGAGCTAAAGAGGTTACATAGAGCTCAGGTAGTGTCACAGTCTTCTTGTAGTAGCAGACAGTTAACTGTATGTGAAAGCACCATGATCTTGACATTTCTCTGAGTGTGCCAGAAGAAGATCCAGAGACAGAACTTTCCTTTATTTCTACATGAGTGTCCCTGCTCCTACTCCTTCTTTTAATGTTGATACAATATCACAGAGATGGGAAGAATGGCTGAAACCTGCCATGATAGTTTTACAGTGAGAAAAATAATGACCATAATACCTTTCTAGCTGGAGAGGAGTGAAGCATCATGCACTGATGGAACAGTGGCAGTCAGATAAAACCTGATGAAACTGCATCTATCACTGCTTTGCTAGATTACGCTGCTCCGTGAAGTGTTACCAAATGAGTCTTTAATTCATTCTCCAACAGAGAATCTGTTGGAAAACAGGTGGCATCATCTACTGGTGATGGAATTTGTTTAAAACTCAAGGTAAGGGCTCAGCTGACTGGATAGCATCACCTTTCACTTCAGAGTTTAGGAATGTCATTGGAGTTGTAGTAAATAAGTGAGTACCAAGGTGTTTTCAAAATTAAGGGATAGAATGTTGTTACTGGGGGGACCATGATGCTAGCTTTTGAAACAGTTAGCTTTTACAGCAGTGTATTGTTGAATACAACCACTTGTTTTTGAAAAGGCCAATTTGACTGAAGTCACATGGTGCTGGATGAGTGCTGCAGACAGAACAGGAGAATTGCTGTTGCTGAGATTCTGCTCCATTCTTCTCTGAACAGATCATCCAGCGGCAACTTGAACAAGTGGAAGAGAAGCAGAGGCAACTCGAGGAGAGAGGGGTTGCTGTGGAGAAGGCCCTTCGGGGAGAAGCAGGTATCCATCAGAACTTGGTTTGCTTTTTAATGTTTTCTTCTCAAGTGCTTGTGCAGTAGTCCATAGCTGCTTGGATTTTAGAGGCAATTGGACCTTTATAGCCTAAAGTCCAATGTGAATCCATTCTCCCCTTTCTACTGTCTTTTTGAAGCCTTGTTTTTCCCGTGTTTCTTCTGATTCTGGGACTTCCCTGATGGCAGAGACTTAGTTTGCTTGTCTTTGCCTGAGGCTTATGAGGAAATTCTTCAACTATTAATAATGGCTGTCTGACTATTTCTGCATATTACTGGAAAATTGCAGGGATTTCCTAGCTGCAACTCACATAAAGCTGTCACAGTAAGAAAACCCACCTTCTTTGTTAAGAAAGTAACTATGAAATTGTGTGTGCTTTCTCTGTTGTGTTGGATTATCAAGGTAGTGTCCTTACAAGGGACCATCACAGAACATCTTCCTCACTGCACAGCCCAGCACACTGGCTACTTCTGACAGAACTGTGCAGAGCAGAAATGCACACGTGTACTGAAAGGTATCCATGTGAAGCTGTTAAAGAAATTATATATGTACTTGAAATTAAACAAGTATCATTTGATCTGGCAGGCATATGAGTGGAGGAGTACTTCGTTCAGATAGTGCTGATAGCAGTCCAGAGATTTGGAGAAAAAAAATCTTCAATTGCAAGGAGTCAGATATCCAACAGGCAAATGCAGTGTGCATATACCTGGCAGGCCCAGGGTTATGTACCAGAAATGGTAGAAGTGGAATGGGTGTTTGGAAAATGTTTTAGCTTATTGCTGCATCGAAGAGCCACTGCTGTGCCTGTGAAGATGGAACTTGATTAAGCAGTGAAGGTTCACCAGAGGAAAAGTCTGTTTTGACTTCCCGCCCATTACTGCTCAGCCAGGATTAGGTATGTTTGATGCTTTATAAGGATATGCCAAAGCAGCAGGACTGAGTGGTTGCCAAAGCAAATAGGCACTACAGGTGTGGAGAACAATCTTGAGGACTTCAGTGGTTTTGTAATCTGACTTTTTAATTTGTGAGTTCAAAAAATAACCTTGTGCAAAACCTTTCTTTGTGGGGGTGCCTCCTTCCTCATGCTGTGTATTTCTGTGTGGAACTACTCTGTTCTCTGGCCTGCCAGTTACTGCACTTACTATAATCACTTCTCTTACCTCTTGTTGTTCTTTTTCTTTCCATCTGGAAGTCTGTCTTGGTTACTCAGCTGCTTAAATGACTTTGAAATAAGACATGTCAGCACAAGTGGGAAGTCTCAGCAATTGAGAGAACATTCTTCATTATGGAATATTCTCTCATTGCAGAATGCCTAAAAAACATTCAGAGGGCAGAGTAAGAGTTGAATTGCTATTTTATATGGAAGACTGCAGAATTAAACCCTTGGATAACTAGTCTCTCACTCCCAGTTCTCCCAAAGTGGCAGCAGTCTTAGATGAGCTTGTGTATTTGTGAATTTCCTAGAATGATTGCATCGCTCTTTGTAAAGTGAATCTTTTTTCTTTGGGAAGCCCCTAGGGAATGCTTTGCTCTTGCAACATATTTCTACCAACAGATTATACATTCTGGTTACGGAAGCTTAAGTCAGTCATAAAGAATTCACTAGTCTCAACTCTTCTAGTTATTCAGAGGACTAACAGCAAACATCTGGGAGAGGGGAGAAGCATGTTCTAACTTGTGTTGACTCACAGGAATATAAATTCACTCCATAGTTCACCTCTCTAGCCACTCTTGCATGGACATTTAATATATGTTGACAGTAAAATAACTGAATTTCTTCTATTTAAAGTCTTCAGTGTCACATTCTACAACTACAGTTAATTTCTGCCTCCAATAACCATTAATTTTTCAGGAGGACAGTATTATTTTCTTGCCATCTGCATTGCCTAAGACACTGACCTAACAGTGACCACTGAATTCAGCAGGTACTGTTGTGTAAAGGAGTGAAGTCACACTCTTGCCTCTTATCAGTCCCTCCCCTAACAAAACCATGCAACAAAAAGTTTAAAAAGGGAACAGCAGTTTATATAGAAAGAAAAAAAAATCATCTCTTTTAATAAGCTTGTACAAGAGGAAGAAAATGGGGCAGGGTTGGAGGTGTGCCTCCTGTGCACATACCCTGTCCACATAAATAGGGAAGGATTACAGTGCAGGACTGAAGTCATGGCAGTCCCATAGACAGCAACCAGTAGTAACAGTTCTAGGAGAGCATGGGTTAGTCAGCTTTCCTCTCTACAGGGAAAGAAAAAAATCAGTCACTGACTTAGGCTTTTAAATACAGCGTTTTAGTATTAGTGGTAGTTTTCTACTACTTGATACTTGAAAATCCTAACAGAAGCAGCAGAATTCTGTAATTTCTTAGGATTGTTTTCTATTATAGAAGAAGACAGATGAGACCATTTGAACTACTTCTCGGATGTCATTTATCGTCTTTTAGCATGCTGCCTCTTACTTGTCTTTCCTATCTTGGAGAATTTACAATTTTGCTTCTGTAGAGGTCTTCCACTAGCTTTAATTCCTCAGATTTCTGACCTCTGGACCTCTTTGGATTTTTAGAAAAAGCATTTTTCAGTTGGACTGGTAAGAACAAAGACCAGTGCTATAGGGCAGAATTTGTTTACTTAGAATGATTTTGCTTCTGTTTTCCATCTGTTTTGCATCATCCATAATATATTCTTGCCAAGTGACTTAAACTGCTTCACAGTTATGCCCTGCTCTCTTCCTGAGAGGTTACACTTAATTTTAGATCCTAGCAATAGGTACAGAAAGCTCAACACTCCAGGTATTTCACTCATTATCCGATAGTTGTCAAATTTGAATGTGTGTATGTTGATACTAGTTACACAACTAGTCAGACTTGGAAACATTTTGGAGGTCATTGTCAACTTGAATTTTGATAAAATATTTACACCTTTTTGTCTGTCTACATTTCCTTTTCAAAATAGCTCAGCCTCAGGCAAGGTGCACTTGATCTTTTGTTCTTGTAAAAGGTGAATGTTCAATCTGTCATGTCTGATTCAGAAAATAATCTCACACCCTACAATGACTTAATTGCCTTAATCTGTTCTCTGTGATTATCTTTGAAAATCTCAGGATCTGAGAATCACATTCATAGCAAGAATGAATGACTTGGAATGTAAGCTCTATTTCAGGTGGCAAGTTTGTCATCTGCAGGCAATCTAAGCTTTTGTCATCCTTCATTTCCTTCCTCCCTCCCCTGCTTTATTTTGCATCATGGTATTTCCCTGCAAAAGTAGAGTAGGATAATGTCAGTGAAGAGTTTCCCTATTTTTCTACAGTGTCCCAAGAGACACCCTGAATGGGATTGTTCTCAATCTAATGGTACTTTGTGTTATGGTATATTCGCCTGTTTGGACATGCTGGTGGCTTTGATTTCCTGTGTGGTTTTTTTTTACTTTTTAAATTATTAACTGAAAAACATATTGAATCGGAAATTTCTGGAACCTCTTTTTGCTCCCTTATCCTCATTTAGCATAAACTTTGAGCTGGGAAAATGTCTCCTACTGTCAGATCAATGCAGAAAAATTTAAGAGCCATCTCTTTACATCAAGTGAATCATATGCAGCGAGAAACAGTGCTTCTGTACTCCCATCTGTCTCTTCCCCAAAGAAACATTACACGGTGCTAGACTCATGGTGTACCTGTCTCTAGCAGCTATGGACGTACATGCCTCTGTTCCACACACTTCTGTGCAGGTTTTTCTCTGGCATAGATATTGCATTAGCAGGAAGACACCCACTTGCCATTCATGTCAGTGCTTGGTCAGTGCCTTCCACCCGTGTGCTGTACACACACTCAGTCGCTTCCACTCAGTCGTCTCCAAGGATTCAACCTTTACACCTTTCCTGCAGCTGACCTAAGAAACTGCACTGTTTCCTTCTAACATATTGCTCAGCATGAAAGCAACAAGATTGGTTCTGCTTTTCTCAGCAAGAACAGGAAAGACATCGATGTCAGGTACTGGTGCAGATGGAAATAGGTGAAAATGCCCCTTTGTAGACTTGATTTTTTTATTTTCCCCTTTGGAAGTCCTTCCCTGCCTGCTGGGAGTTTTCTCCTCATCTCAGTATATATGTTTGTGATACATCTGTGTTTGTGTGTACATATATGTATACATAAAGACACACATATAATTTTTATATACATACATATATGTGCCCAGGTGTATAGCTGCATGTTTGTTTGCCTTTCTTTCTGTCTCTTTTTTCTCATGTGTTGCTCTGATTGTGTGGGGCTAGGGTGGGGGTATCTGATTCAATAACTCTGTCTTCACCAATTCCTTGTTGTAGACTATTGGGGAGAGTCTTATTACAGTGACCTCATCGACTTGCATCTGGGTGGTATGTATGGCTGAACCTCCTGCTGACACTAACCCTGCTGACACTCCTCCCCACCCTTCCCTTCACCTACTTCTCCCATCCTTGGCTCACAACCAAGAAGAAACAGCACATGACTGGCTATAGCAGAACCCCTTTTCCAGCTCAGGAAGAGGAGATCCTGGCATGCTCCACAAACCATGTGTAAGGTCTATTTTCCACAGTACTTATTTCAAAATCTACATACAGTTTTCACTCCAGGCACCTTCCCTGCTAGCAGTGGAAGGCCACGCTGGCTTTTTGCTTCTCCTTCGCAAAGTTTAGTTCTACTACTGAAACCTTCTTTAGCAAAATATTTTAATGTGAAGGGGACAGCAGAACTGACCTGCTCCCAAGAGCTAACAGCACTGTAAAGGCAGTTTATGGCATGCCATTGCCTCCCTGTTGCCCTTGAGCCTCATTTGCTTATTCCAAAAAAGCCAGAGTGTGTTGATGATCTAACAAAACCAAAATGCTCCTTCAAGGAACTCTGGAAACACTTGCAGATGACAGATACTTCTTCTTCTTTGTTTTGTCTTGGTTAGGAAAGAATCTACTGTTAAGATTTCCAGTCATTTTTTGCTGGAATCTGCTGTTAGTTTCCAGTCATCCCAGTTTGTATCATTACACAGCTAATAATATTCTTGCTAGGTTGTTGTGTTGTTTTTTTTTAATGTCCCATTTAGTGCTAAACATGTGTTAGTGTTTAGCTCTTTTTTTCACTTACTGATTATAGTCTGGTCATCACTCTGTACCATGACACTGCATTTCCTTAGTGTTACTTCCTGAATCCCTTAGTAGGCAGATAACTTTTGGATTGCAAACAGCATTTGTTTAGCACTTGCAAATCTTGAAAATCAGAATTCCCTTTGCTAGTTTAATTGTCCTAAATCTATTCTTATAAAATGGACACATCTGTCAGCAGATCAAAGAGAAGGCAAACTCTGCTTGGTTGCCTTGTCATCTGAAGGTCTCATTTCCTTTGTCTTTCAGAATATAAAGTTCCTTGATCTAAGATGTGTTTTTGTTGAGGGAGTGCATTACTGACCAGCTCCACAGAGTGAAAGATCCACATGCTCTAGGCTGGATCCAAGACACATCACTAGAAGTCTTCCCCTGATTTCATTGTGTTCTGCTTTTTATCCTTCAAACAATCTTGCTCAGGCTTTTAACTGTCTGGGGCTTTTTTTACTCCTCCAGGGGGAGGCTGTCCCACATAGTATCTACCTGTAGCTGTCTGTTGGCAATGACTCCAGATTGTCCTGACACAATAGGCTTTTATGGAAGATCAAACACTTGAGCTAAGAATATCTACCTAAGTTCAAGTTTCAAACTGGAAGATTTTCCTCCTTAGTAGACCTAATTTGTTGCCCAGTTCCCCTGTGCTAATTTTGATGTGATAGTCTGCTTCTAGCCCTGTGTGTCATTCACTGTTCAGTTCTTCTGCCATCCTTTCCTGGGATATCTTCTGCAGGGAGACTTTGAGACCCTCTTCCTAGTTACGTCCATCAGGGCTGGCCCACACTTACATGTGGATAGGGTAGGAGCTGTAAAAGGGTTGATGCTGAATTACACTTAACAGACCCTTATCCCTATTTAATGCTATTTCCACTATACCTCTCCCTCCTCCTGCTTCTCCTCCTAATGCTTCTTTAGAGACAGCTATCCCATCAAAATCACTAATAGAGGCTTTAAGAAAAGCAAAATAATATTTACTTAAAGGGACACTGTCACTCAAAGTATTGTATTGGAGAAAATCTTAACTGAAAATTGAAATTACTGCTAATCTTTTTTGCATTTTTGCCTTTTCCATTTCTCTGAACTCGGGTAGTCATCCCACAGTGGTAATTTTTGATCTTCTGTAACAGGCTGATTTTATTTATATGGTGACTCGGAGGCTTCCAACAGTCAGAGACAATGTTCACGTTTATTTAGAAATGGTTGATATATTTTAAACTTATATCAAGTTTCTTCTCATCTCAAAAATACCTTTTCAAAATGAACTTGAAAACCCTGTATTGGGCAGTATCCCTTTAAATGCAATGAGCCAGTATAGCCTGCCTGGAGTAAGTGGCTTTGTAGTACTGTTTTGTTGCCTCTGTAATTTGCTTTATATTTCCTTTTGGGGCTGCCAGAACACTTTTGCCAGAAGGGATATACATTGCTCTGAGGATACCTGTCACTATTCAGTGGCAGATTTAGAGCTCAGCTTCAAAATTAACATGTCTGTGCAGGATGCTGTATCTGGTGGAGTGCCATAAAAGTCCCTGGAGCACCATGTGGTTGCATGGTCCTGCTGAGTGCTCTAAGCAGCTAGGATGACTACACAGTTATGTTATTCTACTGTCAACTTGTGTCTCTGAGGCATGGGCATGATTCTAGAGTCATGCTGTCAGTAGAATGATAAGCAGAATGGCAAAAAAAAACTTTGAGAAGCTGTCTGTAAATTGGTGATAATTTTGGAATGATTTAAGCCATTTACTTATTCTGGATTTTCTTTCCACTAACGAGAGTTGCGTTTCATTTAGTTGTTACAGATTGCACAACTACTTCTGCAAGGGCGTGGTAACTTCTGACATCCTTGGTCAAGTTCCAGTTTGCAGTATTGCACATGGCTATCTTAACTACCTCCGTTGCTCTGCTCAGATGCCATAATCCTCTCTTACTGTTGTAAAATGTCATGTACCATTGCCATAAAGCAGATGTTTCATTTCACACTACAGATGGTCACATTTCAATTCCTCTGTGTGTATATCGGATATGCAGCTATGGTAAAAGAACATTGCAAAGGTTGCAAAGTCAACTGAAATTAAGATTTTGTATCAAGCTGATATATCAACAGATTTATAACCTTTAGATCCTCTGCACAGAACTCTGTTCCATGTCTGTGTGGGATAACTGGTAGCAATGCTAGGTTGTCATCCTCTACGTAGATCCTTATGGAAATGGGACACAGTCAGTGAATTTCACAGATGGTTGCTGGCAGCTGTGGAATAGTGAGACTTGAAAACATGGATTCTGAGCCAGACACTGGAAAGGTGCAGTGTTCTGGTGGATATACACTTTTTGTCCCTTTTATTTCCTCTTTCCGGATAGTCCTTGCCCTAATCCTGTCCTTTTCCATCCAAAGTTCTTCATTTCCATTTGCACCCTCAGTCCCAGTTTCTGCTTCTCAGGCATTTAATTTTAATCCTACATTTTTGAAAAATAAATCCTAGTATTTACCCTTCAGACCTGTTCCTCCCCACTAGCTGTTCCTAGTCTTTCACTGTTCCTGATCTTCCCACTGACTCAGTCCCCATAGTCTCAACCCCTGCCTCTGGCCTTCTTCCAAAAAGTTTAGGCTCTGCTCCCTCTTCTACCCAGCATTATTTGTCTGGAATACTGCAGATCATGTATTCTCCACAGATTTGCCACCTTTCACCCCTTCCCTTTTTTCCCCCTCTTCTCTCTCTCTTCTCCTTCAGTCATCTGCATTCTTAGTTTCCTTGCTTAGTTAATCCCTGCCTCAGTTCCTCCTTACCCACCGGTTCCTTGTCCCCATTTTCTGCTCCGCTGCCTGTGGAAAGCACCTCCCTTGTTCCCTCTGCGTCCAAATGAGCAGCTTCAGTTTCCTTGCACCCAGGAGGGAATCACTGGGGAAACAGTCCCACGCTCCTGTCTTGTTTTGCTCTTGGCTGGAGTGTGCTGAGGCAGGCAAGAGGGACGTAAGGAAGAGAGCTGGTATGTTTGAAAGTGCTGATTTCAGACATAAGTTCTTCCTTCTTGATAAGAGCCTTATGAACAACAGGTAAGGGGGGGGGGGGAAGTGTGGATTATGGTTTGGGGTTTTTTTAATGTTGGTTTAAAGCATAGTCTCCGACAGCTTCACTTTAAATTTCCTCAAAATACTTGTGCTGAGTAGGTCCTTTAAAGACCTGCAGATCTAACTCTGCAGGGCTGGAGTCTGGTATACTCAAGTGGGAACAGTGCTATTCTTGTGACTGGCAAACAGGGCTCTCCTGGAGGAGGAGTGGAGTTGTGAGATAAACATTGTTTTCACAGTCTGCAGCTGCTTTTGCCACTGAAGTGAATGGTAACGTCTTTTTCTTTGCTGTAAATGTGGAGCAGGAAAGAGCACTTGATAAGCATTTATATACTTGTTAAGTATATACTTCATTATATACTTGTTAAGTATAATGAGAGTACTCATTAGGTACTGGAAGCCAAGCAGTCACCATTTACCTGCTGCTTTCTACACATCTCTCACAACTGCACACAGTCTGAGGAGGGAGGGTCAGTGCAAGACTGTACTGACTGACTGCTTTTCAAAGTGCCTTGAGGTCTAGTAGAAGCAGAACACTTCCGTGCCATTTGTGTGTGCATGCTGCTCCAGCTGTTGCTTTCCCTATTTTTCTTTCCCCTCCCCACCTGTTTTTTTTATTCCTCTCTTCTGCTGAACAAGTAAAGGTATGATTCAGTTTGTATGACAGTTCAGTGGTCTAAGAGTTTTTCCCAGGTTTCTTCTAGTGATTGTACTCTACAGGATAGTTATTTTGCCAGTTTTAGTAAACTGTTAAGTCAGACACGCTGAGTGATGTGCTAATGGGATAGTCACAATCCTTGTCCTCAACTTTGTAATACCTGCAGGTGTGCAGACGCTGTTCTCCAGGACATGGCTTTCTCTGTTCTTATTCTTTCACAACACTGCTGCTGAACAGCTTCACCAAACAGTAGAGTTGGGATGCTTAATTTTTTAGGACTACTGTTTCTGACATAACTGATTTCTAAAAGGTGGGAAAGAGGATATTTCCTGTGATCAGTGCACAGTTGTCTTACTGATCTCATGCGAACTGAGCCTTATTTTAAGCACTGATTTAAAATCAGAGCTCTTAGTCTGCCCACTGAATGAGCAAGAGAATTTGTAGTAGAATAAGAATTTCTGAAGTGTCATGCTCTCAGTTTGTGAGGTCAAGTGCCAGCATAATGGTTCCAGAGAACTGAGATTAGCCTCAGAACTGGATTTCCTGCCTGGTGTTGCTGATTTCCAAACTGCTGTGGTTAGTCAGCAGTATAGAAATTAAAGTCCTTGGATGTCTTTTGCAAAGGATGTGACACCATTTGGTGTAGCTCACCACTCCTCAGAAGTTATCACAGCTCTCATACCACAGTGCATGGGCAAATAGTGAAGAGGATCAGTGTGAGCTATAGCTTGGTGATAATGGTGTCTGCCACCCCAGACTTTCTTCTGTGCTTTCTTCATCTCGATCTATCATTTTTTACTACTCTGCTTCACATTATGAAGTGTTGTGTATCTACAGCAAAAAAGGACAAAACCAGTCTGAAGTATTGCTCTTTAAATAACAAGTAAATAAAAAGTGAAAAAAAGATGACAACAATCCAGTGTAGCTTGTGTACCAAAGAACAACCTACAGTGAAAAGGGAGGTATGTTCCATCAAGGCTATACAATTTCTGTTCCTTGTTTGAAGAGGCTTTGGAGCTATGGTGTTTATTCTTGCCATGGCTCTTGGTTTCCACCGCCATAGCAAAGTCTGCAGTCTCTCAAGAGTGCTATGACAAACAAGGTCTTTCTTGTCATGACAGCATGAAAGATTTCCCAGAAGGGTCTGGGGAAGGCTTGTTTTCCAGAGGCAAAATAATTCCAGTCACCTTATTGAATAATTCCAATCACCTTATTGATGTCTAGCAGATGGCTAATCTGATAGGCAGAGCTTCTACCTCTCCAGGATGTTCAGTGTGCTTGGGAGCTGGGGCACACTCCTCAAGGAGCTGCAGTTCCCAGCTCTGTACCGATCACCCCACATGCCCCCTTGGGCTGCTGGCCTCTGCTGTGCAGGCTTTACACACCCTCAGAAGCACAGCTTGTGATTAACGCGGTCTGTTGGCAGGTTTGCCTCTCTGAGAAAAAAAAAAGAAGCGGTAGTTTTCTGTCCAGAAGCTACAGTCACACCTCAGACTTTTGCTGACAGCACAGAGGGAACCTAAAAAGTGAATGGTCACAGAAATGGTTCTTCCACTGCCTTTGAGTTCCTCCCCAGCAAAGCGCTTCAGCAGGGCAGTGGGTAGCTTGTATTGCTGCTGCCAGCAGTGCATGTTCCATGCTGTGGATAAAAACCTGTGTCACCAGACCTGGCCTGGGTTTTGGTGGTGGAAGAGACTTAACCAGAAAGGAGATTGTTTATTTTTTTTAATTTGCTTGACAAAAGAGTTTTTCCCATCTGGCCCCGACTCCATGGCAAGGAAAACTGCTTTGCTGGGATGAGCATGGTTTTAATTTAATGAGACCATGAGGTGGTGATTCCTCTTCTTTGATCAGTAAGAATAATACTTACTGCAGGATTAGTAATGGCACTGGGAGAAATAAGAAGACAAGTAAGGATTTCCATAACGTGACTGGACAAGTGAGAAGGGCAAAGTAGATGAGACAGGTTTTAACACCATATTGTGAAACAGGGTGTTGTTATAGTTGTCCTGTTTGATAGTACTGGACAAGGAGTTCAGCCTTTTCCCAGGATTGTCCTTCAGCATACACATACACAGTGAGAGCTCGTGCTCTGAAGTTGTATTTTTTAAAAATGAACCTTGAATGTGAATAAACAGGAATGTGAAGGATATTATGATACATTCCCTGTCTAAAACTGTCATCTGGCTGAGGGGACGCTTTGTCCGTTCATCAAGTGATCTTCTGTTTATCCCCCCTGGGTCTGCTGCTGAGCTAGTTGAAGAGGCCTTTTCTTAGACTCATAGAATAGTTTGGGTTGGAAGGGACCTTAAGATGATCTAGTTCCAGGAGTTCATCTGATCTGAAAGGACAGTGAAACATGTGACACTTGAAGGTTGGTTCCTGTCAGTGAAAAATATTTTTCCCTTTCCTGAAATATAGTTTTTCTCTTAAAACTAGCAAGTTCCTGTTTCAGTCTGCTTAAGTGTCTGTACCACATGGGATACTCTTTACTAGCAAAGGTGGAGAGGCAGTTTTCATGACTATCACCTGAAAGGAGTTTCTAAAAAACCATTTACAATTGTACTGCATTATATGTTCTATAATACTTGTAGCTTCAGATTATGACACTTTTAGATCAGAATGTTTACAGCTTTAGAGAACTATAGGAGGTAAGTTTTGGAATTGCACTTAGCTCTGTCCTTGCTGTTAAGGACCTCGGGTACATAAGGAACGCTTTTTAAAGCCTTGCTAATTATCCTGGTCTGCACAGAAGCTGTTCCCAAAGCAGTTGTAATGACCATACGTTCACTGATGCAACTATAATTTACATCTGGAGTAGCTGGGAATGATCTTAATGGTATAGGTTATTTTCATTATCTTGCTAAAAAGTAATGTTAGCATTTCCAGTAGCAGGACTGTTTGTAAGTTTGTAACCTGATTCAAGGACAAATTTTCCTTAGACAAGAGTGGGAGAATAAAGTTTCTGTTAAAAAATAGGACAACTAACAGCAAAGGAGGAAAACACAACTGCAGGGAGTGAACTCTGCTGTGTAAGCCCTGTGGCTTTTTACTCAAGACCAAGAATGGCATCTCTCCTAGTGTCAGACCATTTCACTGATGACTAAAGTTAGTAGTTTGTGGTCATGTCACAATGAGATGAATGATATGTTCACGTACCAGCTACTTATTTTCAGATCAAATATAGCAAGTTGGGAGTTCCTCACCAAGTCTATACGTCCATGGTTTGAAATTTATACGCATAGCTGCATTTGAGTTAGCAACATCCTCCTATCCCTGCCCCACAGTTCTGAATAAAATCTCAAATCCTGAAGAACAGCAGTGGATTTTTACATACAGCTAAATGCCCATCTCCTGACCCCCCCAAAAACAGTGGTTAGGCCAAGTTACAGTATTAAAGCTTCTATAGAAGAATTAATGTTGAATCAGATAGGATGTGAAATAAAAAATATAGCAGGCATCATGCACTAAATGCTCTGCTTTGTGTGGAAACGTATTCTTCACAGTGCCTTTGCAGTTTGGGTGTTTTCTTGTTTTTGTTTTTGTTTTGTAAACTGATCTATGAAATGGCAATCATAGAAAAGAAACCCCAAACCCTGGTATTTTTTAATTTTAAATGAAGAAGTTGGAAAATTCAGAACAGCTATAACTGAAGTTCTGGTACTGTCAGCTAACGTTAGTACGATGCTTTATTTGTAACTGTCACATGGCCAGCTGTGGCACCTCTCCTAATGTTGCCCCTTCCTGCTCTCAGTACTGAGGTTTCTTCCTGTCTGAGAGCACCACACTGCTCAGTCACAGGCTTTGAAGCTGATGTGCTCTCTTTCTAACTTCAGTTTGTCCTCTGTGTGCTGGTCTAGTTCTGTGATGGTCCCTTCTAAAGCCTTCTGAGTTCACCAGTAGTCTGGGTCTGTAAAACTTTCTCCAACCCATGTATATCAAAATGGTGACTTCTACAAAATAAGCATTATTCTGACCATATTATTGCTGTGGAGTTCCCAACACAGAAATGCCTCCTCTTTATAAATGTAGTTGTGCATTCAGAGCAGTTACCATTCTGCTAGCTTTGATGTTTCAGGCTCATCACCTTCCTGGTGCATACAGTCTCCTCTAACTATTAGTGACGTTGGTTACTTCGTACTGTTTTATCTCTGCAACGTTAAGTACAGCCGATACTAATACTAACAGTATTAGTAAGCATAGCTGATACAGATACTAACAGGACTTGTAAGCTTTAAAATGCTTTGTGAAATGAGAATGTCAATGGAGGGCTGTAAATTTATCATTTTAACTATGCAAAGTCCTCAGTTGGTCATTGCCTCTGTAGACCCTGATGTGAATCACTTTTTTATCAATGTAAAAGCCTTTTCCCCTCTAAGCACAACAGTCCAGCTGAGCACATGTGTAGTCACCATACTTGACACAGCAGAACCTGCCAGGCTGGTTCCACATTAATCAGATTTTCCCTCTGATGTTCCCTGTCTGAAGAAATTATTTCCCATTAAAAAGGACACTTTTACCATCAGCGGATGCTGCCACAGTGGTAAGAGCATGGTCCTGATAAAGCTTTAAGGTAGGGTGGCTGCTTACAGCTGGTGTCTTATGCATGCAGGTGACAGTTTTCGTAGCCCTGCCTGAAATTTGACATTTATCAGCAGGGGTTAAATATTTGTCTCTGCTCATCCTGACATCTTGTTCACAAACCTTTCAGTTAAAGACTGTGTGATTCGAAAATGTAAAAGTACAGGAAAGATAACCTCCTGCCTGGTATTTGTGCAGCTCAGTAAGAGTTCACCAGTACCTCAGCCTACCTCTGACCCGTTATCTGTGCTTTATTAGAGACATTATTCATCTGTAGACTGTATCCCTTGTTTCTGCTTCTCCATTTCTTGTATTTTTCTTTCCTTTTCTTGTGTTTCCTTACTTTCTCACTCTTACGCTTTTTGTCCTTTGCTTGTCTTTTATTTCACACCTTTCCTCCTCTTCCGTTCCACTTCCAACTTCCTCTTCCTCTCCTTCCTCTTCCTCGTTTGGTCCTATTGAAGTTGAGCCCAATGCCGGGACACCACGTCGTAGACCTCTCTCCTTCTGCCCTTGCTGTGCCCATGAAGGTAATGTAACCTCACACGCTCCCTGTTCTCCTTGACCACAGCTGGGTTGTCATAGTAACGTTAGTCAGCTAATGAACACAAAGCCCCCAGCCCTGTCCCTAGCTCTTTTCTTGCTGCGTCTCCAAACCAGCCTTCTCAGTAGCAACCTGGTAAACAGCTTCTCTGAGCCTATGGCAAGTTATTAAAGAATACAGTATCCCTTTTGCTAGTCCCAGCTGTGCTAGGGAAGGTATAGCGACTGGGGGGACATTGGGCAGCAGTGGTGGGAGCAGGTGTGTCATACTCAAGTTTCTGTTTTCATTTGGTGGATTCAATTTCTCTGTACCTCCTGAAAAATACTTAGAAGGTGGGGTACAGGAAGACAATCTGCTTCCTTAAATATGGCCTTTTAATTAGTATATATGGATTAAAGGAATACTGTGTCTTTATAAGGATTGGTTTGCAAAATCATCCTTGAACTTTAAAAACCAACAAACCTTAAGCTAGAACAGTTTTCCTTCATCTGTCTTGCTGAGTGCATTCTTTAACTGTCCCAAAATGGAGTGTGTTGTAGAGTTTCCATTGCCAAGGCATGGGGGAAGGGGTTGTTTATGTGTTCATGGTGTAATTTTGCTAACCATTTACTCTGCTTTCCATGGTCTCCCTCACATCAGTTGTCAGTGCTCCCTCTCCAATCCTCCCATTATTTCTCTGCTCATTGGCTGTTTAAAAATACTGAATACTTACTTATTTCACAGGTCAGTAGCATTGTGGTTTTGGATTTTTCTTAGAGGCATTTGTTTTCTATACATCCTGGCATTGGGAAGGATGGAGAGGCTTCCCAGTGTTTTCATGGCGCCATAGCACTGGACATCTGCATGTACGGTTTCCCTCTCCTGTCGCCACACGGGCATACTGTGCAGAGATGCTCAGAAAGGAATGCTTGTACTGAGCAACACACCACAGAAAGTCCATGGAGCCAGAGGCTCTTAGGGTGGTACAATAGGTCTGGGATTCCCCAAGGGCCTGCTCTTCTGACTTTTCATAGGCAGATATTCTCAGCTTAAGGCACAGTTTGACAGGGGTTGCAGGCTCTCCTTTGCTTAGCTTCAGGCCTGCGCTCCTCTGAGATCCTAAGGCTGGAGGCAGGGCACAGGTTGGAATTAACCGTTAGCCATTAGTGTGGTACTTGTGAAGTGTTTCCACAAGTTTGAATAGTAAGCTTGCTGTTTGATTATTTTTAGCATCAAAATAACTATTTGAGAGGTTTTGCTCTTGATGTAGGAAGTGTACGTATGCTATCCATAATAACAGACATAGACAGGGATGTTAGTTGCTTTAGGATGCATTGGTTATGTGCAGTGCAAGCTGATAGGATGCAGCAACCTGAAAATGCTGTTGAGCTTGATTTGAGGCCTCCAATTCCATGCAGGCAGGCGCGTTGTTACTGTTCTTGATGGTGTCTGATACAACTCACAGCATTCATCTGCAGGTAGTTCAGAGTGGAATCGGTGGCCCAGGCCAGGAGATTGCTGGGAGGAGCTTCCCTGGTAAGCTCTTACATTTGATAAATATCAACAGAAAGTTTTGGGAACAGCATTCTGCAATTTATTCCACATAACTCCTGACAGATATGAGATTCATCACAGGATTACTGAGTTAGTTTAGGAGTTAGTTTTAAAATGAATGGAATGCCAACTAGGATTTCTGTAGTACGTGGCCAAGGCCCAAGGTATTTTTATTCTGCTTTGATATTAGCAAATATCTCTGGGGATTCCTCTTCTTTCCAGTGCTGATGTGCAAATAAGTAGTTTCTGTGTTCACTGTTGCAGAGGGGATCTTCAAGATGGGTAGATACACGTGGCTAGGAGGAGCAGTCAGAAAAGATGTATTGAGCTATTGAAATAAAGAAAAGTCAAGATGTTACTTGTGGCCAGTAAAGGAAAAGATTGAGGACATGCAACTGAAGAAAATAAAGGCAAAACACATGGAGTGCCAATTGAGTCTGTTTCTGATGAGCGTATATTTAAGTAGCTGGCATGTGAGGACTTACAAAAGCTCTTCTAATGAACAGAAGAGTGGAATGCATACAAAAATCTGGGCTTTCTGCAGTAAGAGTGAGGAAGAAACAAGCAATCGTAAGAAAAACAGATAAAAATCAGGCTCCAAAGAGAAAAGAATCCTTTTGGAGGTGACTTGACTCTTCTATGTGCTCTAGGCAAACTGAATGGACCCGTCTTGGGAGTGCTCTGGCAGCAATCTTGCTCGGCTTTCTTTGCACATTTTGCCCCATTGTTGTTTTTGCAGTTCAGGCTTGTGAAGATTGCAGGGCATAACCTGAACACTTACCAGGTTTCTCTTTTGGCAGGCATGGGTAAGAAGGATGATCCCAAGCTGATGCAGGAGTGGTTCAAGCTGGTGCAGGAGAAGAATGCCTTGGTTCGCTACGAGTCTGAACTCATGATATTGTGAGTGAACGTACAAAGCTTCAAAAGGGGGATTTTGTTAGGAACAGTGTTGGAAGATCTGTCAGTATTGTCTTCCTGTCCTCACGCCAGGCAGAGACGATGGCAAAGGTGACTGAATTAAATGCTTCCAGCAACACTTAACAAAAGCAGAATCTACCAAAACCGGAAGAAGTCACACATTTCTACAGAGCCAGAAAACACTTGCATGAACAAGACTTGTTTTTACCCCAAACCAGCTTGGGAATGGCTCAGAACTTTACACATTCATTCATACTTCTGCATGTGCACAAATAATTGGAGCTTTCTTTTCTTACTGCTATTACTCCTACTGCCACTTTTTCTGAAATGTGATTGGATTCACATCTCAGCTGAGAATCAGCCTATGATACTCCTGACCTCCCAGCATGGGCATCCGTAAAGGCAGTGGCCTGACGTGTCTCTTAGTTAAGTCACTTTCTCTACAGAGCGGGAAGTAGCAGCAGATACACAGAGGTATCACACATCTGTTTGTTCCTTCACACTGTTTTAGACTTAATCCCACCCATAATCCTCTCAGCTTTCTGCATGGCACTTCCTAGCTGAAGGCAAAGAACCTGCGATGCTGAAAAGTACATTTAAATCTTTAAAACATACAGTTATATGTATCTTAGGTGTTTTAAGAGTTGCTCCAAAACAGATTGGTAAGATGCAGAGCAGATATGTGGAGGGGGATCAAAAATTGAGAATGGTATGAAGCAATGTATGTTGTATTTTAATATACCCAGAACTTGAGTTCCTGATGTTTCCCTTCCAGTGCTCGGGAGCTAGAACTGGAAGACAGGCAGAGCCGATTACAGCAGGAACTCCGGGAGAGGATGGCAGTAGAAGGTGAGAGCAACAGGGAATATTCTGTAGACTGTATGTGTGTATTTCTGGCCTTGTGTATGCTGATAGTTTTTGATCTCTCTGTAGATCATCTGAAGACAGATGCAGAGCTCTCAGAGGAGAAGAGGATCCTGAATGAGATGCTAGAAGTAGTGGAGCAGAGAGATTCTCTTGTGGCTCTCCTTGAGGAGCAACGGCTTCGAGAAAAAGAGGAAGACAAGGACCTGGAGGCAGTCATGCTTTCCAAAGGTTTTAGCTTGAACTGGTCCTGAGCTTGACATGTTTACCTCTGCTGATGTGTGTTGTCCAGTTGGCCTACCCTGAGTTCGCCAGAATTACATGGATAGGAAGATGTTGAAGGGGAAACCTCCGAAGGGTCCAACAGCATGCAGGGATTTGGTTTGAAGCACTCAGAAGCCTTTTGATAAGCGTGTTGGTTCCAGAAGCTTAAGTTTTACTTGTCTGCAAGCCGAGTTGAAGATAATGAGTTGAGACCGTGGAGTCTCCTTGAGGTCCTATACGATGGACTCTTACTTTTGTGTGTGGTAGGAGGGAGAGGAATAATCCATGTGTGGGGAAGGAGGTTAAGGGAAGAAGTACCCTTAACTGGATTTATGGCAGTCCATTCCTTTCCTGGTTTTACTATACCAGTTCTAATAAGAGGGAGGGAAGTGGCAACCCTCTCTGGAAAACCACAGCAGCCTGTAGCAGCCTGTAAAATGGAGTCACCTGTCCAAGAGAGCTCCAGAAGCCCAGGGCAACACTTTCTTTGCTTTAGTCTTCCTCCCCACCAAAGAAACCTGCAGTTGATCATTATGCACAGATATGAAGAAACATGAGACAGAAAAGATACTACTAATATGCGTGATGGAACTCTCTGCCTCCTGGTTTTTAGAGAGATGTGGGCATCAGAGGACTCTCTCCCTATCGTAGCCTCCTAAATCTTCTTGTAGGGAAATAAGGGGAGAAGAAGAGAGACAGAAGATGCCCTTCTGCTTCGCTACACACTGGAGAGACAGCTATTGCTGGCCTTAGTCTTCATGGCCACAGCTCAGAGGCTTGTGGGCTTCTTTGTTCTGTTTTTGTTATGACTGTTTTGACACTGGAAAATACTGACTGTGTGGGACAGTGGTGTGTGCTGGGGCAGGGGTGTTACCAGGTGGCATTCCCTGGCTGTTAGGCCCCAAAGAGGAGAAGCCCTTAAGTGACTGAACCACCATTAAGACTTTTCAGTGTTTTTATTTTCTTTTTCCTCTATATTTTGTTTTTGCACATTGGAAACGAAGCTTAAGACCTGCCTGGGCCCTCAGTCACTTTGACCCTTTATTGTCAATTAACTTATTTTTTTAATACTTGAAAGAAGATTCATTTTTGTATCTTTTAGGAAAAAAAAAAAGGATGAGTGATGGGTGTGTGTGCCTGCTGCATCCTACAACTTCCACTTCTAAATTACTGGATGTTGTTACCTGTGGCTATTTATTAGTGTTCCTATTAATAATTTGTTACACATATTTGATTTTGGAGGGGAGTGTTTTAACTCTGTTAGACACTACTGCGGATTGGTCCCTGCTTCACAGCAAGGGCAGCCTTTATGTACCCACGGATGCATCCTGACCTAGGATGCAAAAGCCAGCACAGTCATGGAGTGGTAAGAATCCTTTTGTGTTCCCAGCATACTTCTCTTCTGCATCCCAGAATTCCCTCTGTTGGACTAACAAATTCATAATTTATTTAAATTTTACATTTTTGTAACAAGAAAGCCAAAACTGTGAGGTAGAAGTATCCCATATGTCTCTTTCTCACTGAAAGAGGGGACCCTTGGACTCCTGAGGTATGGCTAGAGGGACATCATGAAAACAAAAATAGCACATTTCCTGGTGCATCTGCTGGAAGAAGCTGTTGGCTCAGCTAGAAAAGCTGCTGCTTTTCAGCCAGGAGGGCACTGACTGTAACCATATATTAAGCAATGAGCAGGATATGCACTGAGCAGTTCGGCACCATTCACTGTTTGACAGACTCCTTGAGCACACTGCCCCCTTAGCTTGTCCCGCAGAGCTGAAATAGTGCTGTGCATTGGGTATGCGTCCCATCCTTAATGGGATGCAGTAAGAGGTTTTCCCTCTTGGAATGCTGACTTTGTTCTTGGTAAAGAAGTACTAAGCTTGCTCCCCAGTGTCCTTGAGAAAGCGTCCCATTCCCAAGTGTATCCATACAGTGTGCTGACTCTTTCAGTTTGAACTTAGGTTGTTGGTGCAAGGCACCCAAGCAGGGCTGAACATCCTTCATTCTTTTGCCCCAGGACAGAAGTTTGCATGGTTTCTTGCTGTTGACTCTGCCTTCTTCAAAGAGGTCTTCTGTAAGCCAGGCTCTACAATTTGTATTCACCTCTCACTCAGGAGCGTACCTCAGGCTGAAGAAGGATGTGTAGGACTGTCCCCAAGGACTCAAGAGTGCTGCTGGTTCCCTCAGCTGGAAACATGTTTTTTCCACCTCAAGTGTCCTCCTTTTTATCCCCACCTAGTGTTTTCTGCAAAGGCATTACAAACGAAATCCAGATGCTCATGAAACCAAGCAGACAGGGAGCTGCAATGCTACTGTGCCTGTTAGCAAGTGATAACCTGCTACATCAGCATCACAGTGCTGGCTTACCAACAGGATGTCCTGCAAACAGAATTCCCCCATTTGCCAGTGCAGGAGCCAGCTGCACAACTCAAATTGACAATGGTACTTTAGCCTGCATTTGAGGGGCCAGTGGGAACTGGAGAGGAGGAAGGAAGGAAGAGGGAAGGTAGATAAACTTTATTGTAAGTTGTCTTAGGCAGAGAATTGGCCTCAGTCCTCTTCATAATGCACTAGGTATAGGGACTACATCTAACTTTTATCAAAATATCATTGAATGTGAGCTGTAGAACAGAAAGAAATCCTGAAGAAGAAATACCAGATCATTACTTTTCCCCTTCTTGCTGGGGGATGCTGGCCAAAGAATGATAAACCACTTGAGGGTGTAATGCCCTACTGCACAGGAAAACCTGAAGTCTTTAGGTTATGCTGAAGGCCTCCAGCAGTGAGAATGAAAATGAAGAGCTAACATCGCACATACACAGCAATTAAAAATACATGGAATGGAATGTTAAAAGGCCTTTTTATATCAAAATGGTTGTAAAAGGCACAACTTGTATTTGCTGTTCAGTTGCACTTTAAGAATATGACTTGCATATCAGATACTTGTTTTTTTTTTACTATCTGAATATTTTTAAGTCAAATTTTGTATTTTTAAAGCTGAAGAAGGCTCTTGTGACCACAAGATTTCGTATTTGTATAAGAATCCAAGTAGGATGTTCTAGCTCTTTGTGGTGCCCAGGTGTGCAGCAGCACCTGACTCAGCCATGTGCATTCAATGACGTGCATCCATTTTGCGTATGAGGGGAGGCCAGAGGCCCTCAGTTTCCAAGAAGTGGGCACACGGGGGCATCTGTCCCAGTGGTACATGGGCCGGAGGACAGCTGAGCTTGGAACATAACCTGTGTTCATTATGACAAGGGCATGCTGAGGATGGGGCAGGCACTTCAGTTCCCTGTGGGGAAGGGAGGAGGGGGATACCGCTTCCTGCAGGGAAGGGGAGAGAAATGGGGACGGGGGAGTGAAGACTGCCAAAACAACTGACCTGCTGTTTTCACAGTACCATTTTTGTTTTATAACTCTTCTGTTCCTTTTAACCATGTTTTCATTCAAATACATAAAATGGCTGTAAAATTCTGAGCTTCAAAGAACTGATGTGAGGGGAGGTGACAAGACATTTCAGCTCCAATTTCCAGACATATTCCTCCTTTCAGTTAAGCAACACCCCATGGTCTTGCTAGGGCATGTTACAAACTGCGTTGCTGAAACATACTTTAGAGCAAAGTGCAAGTTTTAAAAGTCTGTCCTCCTCTATCCATCTCTGCATTTTATGTAAATATTTGTTTGTATGTAAAGACACCAGTGGATCCTTGGGTTACCCCCATGGTCGAGAATCTGAGTTTTGTGCAATGCCTAGGCCTCTCTTAGAACACAGCGCTTGCATAGAGCTAGTCACCACACTTGTGTGCACTCTGGTGGTTTTTAATACTTTTATACATCCTAATCCTGAACATTATGAAGTATTGTACGTGGTCTAGACTGCATGTTCTAGAGGCAGCCAGCAGTTCCCTTTTGTGAGAAGACGCTCACAGCTACACCCTGTTTGGTTACCATTCTTTTAAAATGAGTTTTCAATCAAGTATTTACACTGGAGACCAGTGGATGAGAAAGGTGTTGCATTAGAAAACCTCCTGTGTACAAACTGAGAAGCCACAATAAGGCTTTATGGGAATTTCAGTCATCTCTGTCTGCAATAAAGAGAACTCTGAAGCATACTAAAAACCAGCCTGTATATAGTTCACAGAGAAAAGAGACTGCTGGCTCTCAACTGCTGCAAAATAACAGAGATTTTCCAAAACTTCCTGGTTTTGGATTGCTCAAGAGCACTGCTATAGGCAGGGTAGCGGGGCAGGTGAGGATGTTACTGAGAGCAGATGTGAAGGGGAGGATGCCATGTTCTGATGGCATCGCAGTAATTTAAATACTCTGTATCTGTGTGTGCATGCGTGTGTGTGTGAAGTCTAATCCAGGTGAAGGGATCTGCTTTGGCATCTTCCCTTTTGTATGAAAGTGAACTCTGATATTCAGATTGTTCAAGGCTTTTACGGTTGGCATGTATGGAGTGTTAACAGAAAAGTGTATTACCCTACCTGTAAAAAAACAACTCTGTTCCAGCCTGTTTTCTTCTGTTTGGTTGTGTTCTACCGTTTGTTTTTATGCACACTTGCTTCGTTGGTGTTGAGATTTTAGCACCTCAGATGGCCAACTGAACTAAAAAAAAAAAGAAAAAAAATAAAGTCATTAATTATTTTTTCTTTTTTTGTTGGTGGAGTTACCGTTTGTTTCCTTTGCATTCACTCTTACAGATGATGATTAAAAAGGAAGCCAAAGCTGGGAGCTGAGGGAAGGCGATCTTGAGATGAGATAAAAACTCAGGTGTTAAAGGGCCTGACTTCAGTTTCTTTTTTGCTGGAATGCTCAGAGCCCATCTGAGTTATATGAGATACAATTGGATGTTGATACATCCCCAATACATGCGCTTCTTTTCTCCATAGTTTACATTGTTTCTTCAGATTCTCTGTGCAGAGAACTTGCAATAAATAGCCAAGATGGGGTGTAGGTAATGTAAATCGAATTGCAGCAGCTAGGATTTAATTCCTGTAGCTGCAGCTCACTTCCTTAGCTTGCGGTACTAGGATGAGCGCCTTACACTGGCACAGCAGCATTCAGTGAGAGAAGGAGTCAATGACACACCACCTTTGTGTTGGCTTAAGCCTCCAGCACTCCAGTGTGCCAGATCAGGAAGATTAGCTAAGCAAAGTGCAGCTGTGCCCCTTGAACAGCTGAAAAGATTCAGAGGTTGAACTTCACCAACTCATATGTCAAGAAAAGGGATCTGGGTATATCCGGTTTGAAAAGGGTGAGAGGTTCAGCCCAAGTGGTGGGCGCTGGGTCCAGTAAATGGCAGAAGCTTGAAGTCCAGAGGAATGCCATCCAGCCAGCAGCACTCCTGTCAGGAAATTGCAAGACTGTGCCTGCTTTTTAAGAGGCTGAAAACACACAGGGTGTTGAGGGAAATCCCAGCTGGGGAAACCCCAAACAATGAGTCTTGTTTTCCTGCCCACTCAACCATTTTCAAAACAAAGGACAAATCACCCTGTGCTAAGGAGGCTGGATTAAAGCAGACCTATTATGGCAACAGGGGAGATAATGGTTTCCTCTTGTGGCCTGGAGGCCAGGGATAGCGGGTTGTGCTGTAAGTGGCAGGAGTGATGCAGCTCTCTGTGCAGCTTCATAGGTCAGCAGTAACCTGGGAATGTTTCAGACCCTTCAATTATTCCTGTCCTTGTGGTCCCTTGCTTTCAAATAGTAGTGGGAGAAAGCTGTGGTGGGCTGGGAGAGATCTCTCTGGTGTTTAAAAGGCCAGTCCACAAAGGATTTCTCTCTTGCTGCCAAAAGAGAAATGAATATATGGGCAGTGACCCACTGCACTCTGGGAGGCAGAAGGTTGCCTCCCATCTATAGCTTAAGAGGCCACCCTTGCAACACTTCATCATGGCTTTTTAATTCGACTATGAACTTGTTGGCCCCCGATCTCAATTAGGGAGCCAGGGGGTCTGCTGTTTCATAAGCTATGGACAGAACAACCAGTCTGCTAAGGAGACCTTCCTGGACTGTTTGCTTTGGCAAAGAACTGTGTTGGCCCTGTGTGGTGGTTTAAGCCCAACTGGTAACTCAGAACCCTGGAGGGCCCTCTCAGAGGGTCACAATTCCCACACAGGTCAGCTGTGTGTGTGTGACACCAGAAAAGGCCCTCTTGACAAGGAAATCCTGCCTCAGCAGCCCAGCTGGGGCTACTTCCAGTTTCCGTTTATAATGGAATCCGAACTGCTGCTTTCAGTTTGATAATGAAAGTACCCTTCAGGAACATCTGACACTTTCTGCATGTGGCATTTTATGCTCTGGAAGCTGCTTCTCCCACCCCGAGTTGTTCCTCCTGGCATAGAATCGTGACCCCTCCTTAGCTCTTTGGGTTCAGTGCTGAGGTAACGAATTGCACAGCAGTTACCATGGTGGGAGCATGAACATGCCCTCAGCTCTGCAAGCAGCACAGGAAGAAGTATGTCAATGGATCTATTAAATAACATGCAGAGACTCTTTTTGGCAGGAACGGGTCCGTATCATGTTACACAGCTACTTAGCCTGGATAAAGACAATGAATGTAACTTGTCAGGAAAAATAACAAGGGGGAAGTCAATGCCTAACACTAACAGCAAGGAGCAGGTGAAAAAACTGACATTCTGGCTTATCTCATGTTTAACACTTGTTGGAAAGTCCTTACCATGAGTGCTGTGACAGCTGCCTACACTAGCACTTGCATTTTTAAGTCCTGCATTTTGGAGAATGTAAACCTAATCCTGTAAGGATGCTACCTCACCATGTATCTCTGCAGGAAAAGCATTCCTGGAGAAGATACCCGTTAAGAATTCAACGAACACCTAAGTGCATCTTCCTTTAAATCCTAAATATAAGCATCAATGGAGCTGTTACCAGAATCAAGGATCCTACAGGTGGTAATGGGTGAAAGCAATGGTGCTGGCACATGGCTGTTCACAGCTGGTGTCTGGAGGGAGGGAAGGCCTCATAAGTATCACTCAAAGGAAGCAATGAAGACATAGTTGCCTCCTTCCTTAGCTCGCATCCTTTTACAAAGCACTTACAACAGGACAGAAAAAACACCTGTCTAAACCAAGCTCCACTAAGAGAACTGCTTTCCTTTGGCACCTCTGCAACAGTGTGGATGCCTCTTGGCAGCAAGGTACTGTATAAGTGTGTATTTCGAAACTTGCTGAGCATGTGGTGCTTTTCTATCAGACACAGTAAGCACCTGGTTTCCTGTAAACAAAAGATAAGAACACCTCTTTTTTATTTTCCTATACAAACATATAATGAAATCTGTATTACTTGTAACAGAAACCAACAAACGAAAATGTGCAGATTTCTCTCAAGAAATACATACATACAGGCTTAGGGCAGAAGGATCAGAGTATGCGCTTTGCCTGCTTAGGGCTAGCAGGCCCTTTCCAAGACCAACTTGAACAGTCTGAAAAACAAGGGAAAGGCCTGTCTCCTCAGTTCCTTAGAATGTACAAAATCCATCAGAAGCTTCCATGTCACTTCCAGCATGAAGCCACCTGCTCGGCTGACCCAGCATGACTCAAGCCTCAATCAGGAATTGCTTTGGGCTTCATTTTCAGTAATCCCGGGAACTTTAAGAAACACTATGAGCTTCTTAAAGCCCCTTCTGATTCAAAACAGCACTGGCATGCTCTGTGTTGCAAAACAAAGGCAGGCAGTGGCACTGTGACTCAGTGGTGTTAGGAAGAAGAGCAACCATGATGAGAAAGCTGTGTTAAAGTAAGCACTGCTTTCAACAAAACTAATAAAAGGCTTTATTAAATAACAGCTAGCTTGAGTAAAACTCTGCTAAACCCTTAAAACTGTATTAAGTGAAAAGCTAAAACTTATTTGCTGGCCTGTAAACGGCTCACAAGAGGATTCTGACCTAAAAGCACAACCCGAGTTCCAGAACACTCCTGCCAGAGGCGGGGACACAAGGCCCGGCACAGCATTACCTCGAGGCTGCTCTACCTCCAGAAGCGGCGGTGCCGCTGCGGGACAGCCCCGGCACCGGTTTGGGGCCGGGTTCGCGGTCCGCCACAGCTTGCTCCGAGGAAGAGCGGGAAGGCGAACAACCCGCACCGCCTCCCCCAAACGTGACGCGGCGACGGGACCTCGCTAGGCTTCCAGCAGACCCGCTCGCCAGGGAAAAGCCCTACGGCTGCTTCCTCTTCCCCCGTTTGCCTCCCAAGTGTAAAACCCCAGAGCGCAATGAGGGCAGTACCGCCCCTCCCTTACCGCAGCCCGCCGAGCGCGGGGCCGCGCATGCCGCCTTTTCCGCCCGCCCCGCTAGGGCGGGGCTCTTGGTGCCGCTCTTATAGCGCCGGCAGCAGAGCGGTGGTGCTGAGGGTGCGTGTTGTCTGAGTGAGTATTGCCTGCGCTGGGGGGATGCGGTGGTCCGGGACGGGCTCCACGGGGATACCGCTGCCGTTCGCGGTTGTAGCTGCCCCTTCCCCTCATTCTCCGCCGGGTGGAGGGAGAGATCAACCGACTCATCGATCCTGGCGCTGCCAGCCCGCCAGCGTGTGGGGGAGGGCAGGGCGGGAAGGCGGTGGGGTGAACAGCGCGGGGTCGCGGCGGCCTGGGCTCACCCTGGGCCCACCGAAACATGGGTGCCAGGCATCCTGCGCTCGGGAGGGGGCTCCGGAGGGAGCGGGGCATGGCGGGTTGGGGGACCTGCCGCGGCGGGACGGGCGGGCCCGCGGTGGTGCCGCCTCAGGGAGCCCCGAGGCCTGAGTTACCGGTTGTTTCTGCCACCCCGTCCGTCTGATAGCGGCGGTGACCGGTGAGCGACCCTGAGGGGGGCGGAGCGGGGCTTCTGGTTTGGCTTATCGGTGCTGGAAACTCTTCTGCCTCCCTGCAGGCCCCCCGTTTCCTTTCTGTCTGCTGAATCCGACTGTGCTCCTCAACGGTTCGGTTCACTTCTGCTTCGATTCTTGCTACCTTTTGGTAGCTCTGACTCGCTGCTCTGCCGGTCTGTGGCTTGCCCGTCTATCCACGCTGCTCTCCCCGGTGTTGTGATGGAGCCATTGTATTGTACTCAAGCCCATCTGCTACCTTCCTCCGCTGTAGGCAAGTCACTCTCAGCCCCCTTTTCTGTTGCAGACCGCCTTCCTTTCCGCTTAGGTGGTATTTCATAAGCCATAGTAAGCTCTCGTCCGGCTTGGTAAAGTCCAAACATCTTGCTGTCAGTCTGTGGTGATGGTTTTCAGGTTGAAGGGGTATTTGCTGGGCAGGGGGGGAGTAAGGAGTTAGCCCTGTAGCAGTAACTGCAGAGGGACCCGTGCTTTCCAGCAACAGAGAGATGTGGGAGTGGCAGCTACAGAGAGAAAGCAAGGATTTCTGATAAAAGTGCTATAATCTGTAGGGAAACATGGTGACTGATAGAGTCTGTTCAGTGTGTGCCTTTTCTCCCGCCCCCTTACCTTCCACAGGGGTGAAGGTGGTGAACGCCTTGTCTGCCCCTTTGTTAACCTGTGTGCAGCACTCGTGTTCCTGCGACTCGAGGGCTATGTTCAGTGCTGGGTGATTGCCAGAAGGCTGAAGCGGGAAGCGGGTAGTGTGTGAAGTGGAAGAAGCTGAGTGAGCGGGTCCTGTTCCTCAGAAAGGTGTTTAGTTAGCGCATGTGGAGTGG